CCTTACATCCTCCTATTTCGTAGCATGTTAAATGTTAATGCATGCAAGCATTGCCATGAGGAGCACCAGCTAAACCAAATACACGCACACGCACACACACACACACACACACACACACACACACACACACACACACACACAAACACACATGCATGCACGACCACACACGAACACACATGCACACAAACGCATGCGCGCACGCACGCACACACATGCACACATATACACACACACACAGACATGCACACACACATCATGCCACGGTGTCTCTTCTTTCCCTTACCAGCAATACATTCCACAGGATCTCAGTGTTGCAGGGAAGGTGAGCAGAGCGTACAAGACCCGCACTGCAGCTCTGCAGTAGTACAAAAACAGACAAAAAAGAACAATGACAACGGGAACAATAGCAGAAGATACACAAGTAAATGTCAATTATAAAATAAAACCGCCGTATCAAACACACTCTGTGACAAATTTCACATGGCTGATCACATAAACCAGCTTCAGACCATCAACTGCTTAACTGTTCTACTGTCTACAGGTACAGCATCACTGTTCAAGCACTGTAGTGTCCTGCATTAAGACCTGTCGCATATAGAAGCCGGTTAACCCCTTATGTAGCAGCCCCATCTCGAATCGTAAAAATATTTTACGGTTGAGCGCGCCACACTTCAATGCGCCGTTCGGCGGCGTCCTTTCTCTGATTGACTCGCGTTTTTTTGCAGTGGACAGCTGAGATCCCACTGAAATATTTGATGTATGATATGGGTAGGTCGCCAGTTGAAAGTATGGAGACCAATTGCGGCGAAAAGTGCGCTCTGCGATATATTTTGCCAATTTCGATCGTGTTTCGTTCCGTCACGCTGCTGCTAGTAGAGATATAGCCTTCTCCAGCTAATGTCGACATCCTCTAGTCGTGGACACCTGGATAGAGCTGAAGCAGCGATATCTCCTCAGGATCTGAATCAGAACTGCGAAATTTCATCGCTGAAGCCACCACAGCATTCGCTCTCCAAGTAGCAGCGAGAGGGAGGGCAGCGGTGTGTAGCAAAGGCTCCACAATCATGATCCGGTGCGTGGTGCATGGCATGCCGATCTGACCAGTCCTGCTACTATGTGGTGCAATGCTTCGGATGCACTCGGTGCATCGTTGGAGATCGGGGGTGACGTGATCGAAGATGGCACATGGATGCGCCAAGTCAGCGATCGTTGCCACATCAACGTGGCTGAGTTGGACGCGGCTATCAAGGGCGTCAAGCTTGCTGTGTCCTGGAATGTGCGTGGTCTGCTCGTCAAAACCGACTCCAAGACAGTCGCTGCATAGTTGGAACAAGTGTTCACCAATGCCCAGTGAGCGCGAACCAAGGGAATGAATGATGTGCTTATTCAACGTCGCCTCCAGGTCATTGCCGACTTACTGTAGTACTCGATATACCAGGTGTACGCGCACGTATCGAGTGGGTGCCCAGTGCTGAGAACCGCGCTGATGTTCTGACACGTGTACCGGAGCTGTGGAACCAGCGTGCTAAGTTGTTGCTGCAGCGTGCTGAGCCGCCGCCTGATGTTGCTTATTGTTCGCCTGCTGTTGATCCGGATGAGTGTGTCACTGCTGCGCCAAGTGTCCACCTGCCGTACGCACTTCGTTTGACCGACATCACAGCAGCTCAGGCCGATGACGCTACGATACAGTCCGTCATTCGTGGCCTTCAGCAAGATCAGCCCCTACCTAGTGGTACCGAAACCCGATCGAACAGAGCCTGAGGACCGGTCGAGTGCTCGTGTGGAACTGCAGGAGGCAGTCGAGTGTATTAAATTTTAGTATTTGTAGTGTTTATGGTGTTGGTTCGAGATACACCAGTGTACGGAGGATTCGCCAAGTAGCAGCGAGAGGGAGGGCAGCGGCGGCATAAACTCATCAAGGCAGGCGGAGGTCTTCCCCTAGTAACTATTTCTTATCTTCTCCATCACCAATCCTCGCTGGGCGTGAGTAGATCAGTAAAAACTACATACTTCGAATCTGAAATAATTGCAATAATTTGAACATTTGACGCAATTGTTTGCGCCTGGTATTTAGACGATACATCCGTTTTCCGCCCCTTCTGTTGCTGTTCATGCAGGTAACTAGTGCATGTGGCGTTCTTCTGTCACTGTGCGTCCCAATGGCTGCCGCTAACACGGCTATACTTTATTTCAAATGTAGCGATCTCAATTGTCAGAAATACGCACAATTGGCTCAAAATTGGGTATTCCGTGTATGCCCTCTTCCTATACCTGCATGCTTGACTACAATATTTTGACAAATGGACCCATTCATTACTATGGATTCAGAAAAAAAACATAACTTGCACATACAAAATGTGTCTAGATGTTATGCTATAGGTCCATCTTTGACGAGGAGTACCCCACGCATACATTACATGTTCGGTACATAAAGGGTTAAGAATACAAGCGTGTTTTTTCAAAATGGACTGTCAGCACATACACCTACTTTTGCTTAGTGGTGAAGTACATAGAAATACCTGGCTTGAATACAAGCCTAATTTGAATACAAGCCGGGCCCTGATAGCGATTCCTACCGGAATAAGCCGACTTTTGCACGCGAGATTACGGTATCCAATGAAACACATCTGAGGTAGGAAAGTTGTTTACCTTGACCATGGCCTGGAGACAGTGTGTGGGAGCGTAGTATGTTGTCTCAGTCACAGACCAACCGGTGTTGAGAAAGGCAACGTGCGCCTGCACGAAACGCACACGAGCAGGAACAGTAACAATAGACAGTTAAACGGGCAGCTAAGACACTTCTAAGAAAATGCTCTCCGTGACTCGGATCTTATGGATACTTGTTAGCAGTACAGCATAGTCCTCAAGACCTCCCGTCCAGGCTCACTACCTACCCTGGGTGCTATGATCACCATCTGGCCTTGCTGCACCACGCCTCGATGAATAGGTATGCCCCTGTTGGCCAGGCTGATGGGTGGATGCTGCAGCACAGAAGACACACGGGAAGAAACACAAGCATGAGAGGCCAGCAATGCACAGCCACCCTGCTAAAACACCGCAGAGAAATCCACGTAAATGGCATCGTACTGAATAGGGATGACACTAGACTGGCAAGAAAGTACAACCGGTGTAAACAAAACTCCCAAAACATTCACATTGCAATCATAGCTCCGTCTCTAATATTGCGAATTGTAAGCCCGCAAACTATCTCATTCCCTCAAAAGGCCATTAGCCCACAGCTATTGCACACACATAGGGGAGTGATGGAAGCCAGAAATACAATTTGTGCGGCCTCACAGCTCTACAGCTGCTTGAGCATCAGCGTTACACAAAGCCTAAAGTCCGTGCGAGGAACATGGGAATATGTACCAGGATTTCCACCGCCCAGCCTTAACAGCACATACAGTGAAACATGTCTAAGGCGACCACCGCTCAAGGGACCGTACAAATGTGGTCCCCGTGTACAGGTGGTCTCCTTATCCACAGGTTCATTCAACTGGAAACAAACCCCTTGGTCCTATTTCTAGCGGTCCTCTGCGGCAGGTGATTGCCTTATTAGAGTGGCCGCCTTGACAGGTTCTACTGTAGAAAAGGCGGCGGAGAGCATAGTCAGCACTCACCAAGCAGGGCCGCTGGGATCCTCGGTTCTTCGGAAACGCGCCCGACTTGCCATTGCGTCGTGTTGCAGGGTTGATCTCATAGCACGCACTCTCCACCTCCTCACAATTCTCCCCAGGTATGCAGTACCTAACCATGCAGAATAGGGACAGGGACAGCAGGCACAACACACAGAACAAAACACATCAACCAGGGCCAATAGCCCCGGTGAGAAGGCAGTCTTGCCTGTTCATATGGTGAAGTAAAATAAAGAAACAACAAACTATCTATACTACACGCGCGAAACAACTACAGCACAGTGAGAAAAGGAGCACATGCAACACATTATTTTTCTCCGGACCAGTTTCACACGTGTACTTTTTGTCTCCTCACAGAAGGGACCTCGCACCACACATACGAATACAAAACGGATGCTGATACGTCGCTTGGGTTGGAGGATTGGTCAGAGCTCCTGTGATTCTGTGATCCAATGTTCTTCAGTTCCTGACATCACTGTAACAAGCCTTGTAGTGAGTGATACGTGCTACCCAGTGAAAAAAAACAGTGCTAGTGACGGTGCAGCTGTCTACTAAACAAGACATGGCAAGACATGCCTAGAAAAACAATAAAATTGTAATACTACTACAGTACCGTAAATTACTACATACCATACTAGAGGGTCGCCGGCGTGGTGGTAGAAGACGGTGTACATGCTGGCTGGTGCTGAATGCCACGCCACCGCACTGTAGCGACTCTGCAGCCGGTGCTGCGACCACTTGGACACTGCAGACAATAACCGACAAGCCGCCACAACAAGGACAGTCCTTTACTATCATTACTAATTTATTACGAATGCAAATAACGCTGAGCAGTTACACAATGTATAAAATCCAGCATTACAGCAGTACTTCAAGTACATAGGAAGAACCGAGTGTATACTGATGAGGACCAGCACAGTAGCAGCAAGGGTTGCTCCCAGTCCCTTCATCCTCACCCTCACACACATTGCTCAATCTCTGGTACAGGAAAGGTTTGCCATGGCTGGGCTATCACCCTGCTTCAACTTCCATTCGCATGACCCGACTTGAAGTCCAACATAATACTAACGTGCAGCCATGGCCAGATGGGACGATTGTGTTTACATGCAGACGCACACACACACACACACGCATGCCTAGAACCTTGAACAACCATTCACAATCAGGATGATAACGGTGTCAGGCAGAGCAGAAGCTGGAATGTCTCTCTTTAAATCCCCAGGGCAGGAGAACACACACACACACACACACACACACACACACACACACACACACACACACACACACACACACGCACGTACACGTACACACACATACACACGCATGTCACATGATGTGCACACACGCACACCCACACACACTCTGAGTCCGTACCATCTCCATCCAACAATGAGCCCGGGCCCGACAGGAGTGCTTCAGGTGACCAACAGCTGTTGTTCAGCTCGGGGCTCCTCAGCTGCTTCCTAGACACAAATACACAAAACAGATCAATCCAGAAAAATGGGAATGTACAAAGCAGAACCTCACACAGCAGAAAGTTGGCTTGCAGTGCTGTCTGCTTATGGAGTTTGGCACAATACGACTCTCCAGTCTTCTCCTGCTCTCCCACAAAGTTCAAAGCATCTATTATTAGAGTTCAAAAATCAACTGAATGCGGTCCCTGCACAAATGAAGGCAGGCTAATTTAGAGAGATGTTTCAAAATTACTTTTTGAAGTACCACTGAGTTGAGTCAGCCAGTATAAAACCAGCCAGATGCCGCCTGATCTCAACCTAACTAACTCAGCGCTTGGTCCCTGGTTGGGTCTATATTTCCTATTCGCACGGTCGTCCTCTTCATTCTCCCTCAACCAGTTTAAAACAATTCAACAGGGTTATCAAACTACAGAGCAGCAGCCACAGCAAGAGTAATAAGTTGTTACCTTGCAGTTGCCTCCAAGGTGATACCGGTGCACACAGGTACTTGCAAAGTACCATCCAGGACGTGAAACCAAAATTCCTCCTGCCGCAGAGATCAAACATAGGCAAAGAAGACAATACACTGCACCTGTGTCATGCGCATACTAACACACACACATGCATGCACACACATGCACACACACCCACACCTAGTAGCAGCCGTGTAGCAGATCAGCCCACAACAGTGACAGCACAGCAGTTGATCTTGTAACAACGCCAGCATGCCGATAAAGTGAAAAAAACGTAGAATATGCTGGAATCGGAAGCACCATCTGAACCAGTGCAGGACACATTTCACAAGTTGACATGTCTAATGTCATTAGTAGCCGCAGCACATGCAACAGCAGGTGCAGAATACAAGGTTGGAGATTCAGCCAAAACAGAACCATGCACATCGTGCAGACTAGGTATATATTCTAAAAGAAATACGGTGGTGCACAGAAAAAGGCCAAACACAAGTTGCATGGTCTACCTCGATGGAGTTCGTCGTCTCTTTGGGCACTTCCCACGCAGAACCCATGCATTTTGCCAGTGCATAGTGCTGCGCACACGTACACGAGAACTGTGTAACAAAACACACACGCACGCGCACACACACACACACGCACACACACACACACATTGCTACCATTGAGATTTGAGAACGAAACGAACCATCCAGTACAAAACTGTAAAAAGACTGCAGCTACTTCCACAACCAGAAACAGCAATGAATGTGTGCAAATGACCAACGTCCTAGCCAGATACAAGCACAACACATACAACGCATTGCACTACACAAACACTACATCTGTAGTCACATGCATCTATGAGAATGGAAAAACAGAAACATGCCGAGTTCAAACAGTTCAAAACACTATCAGGAACGTAAGCCGTGCCCTACCGAAGACATCTGTGTCATGTCCACTTGCTTGGGTTCACGTCCTGTTACATAAAGGTAAACACACGCACGCACACACACACACACACACGATCAGGCTAATGCAATACTATACAACAACAGACGGTTCTACAACTACTGTCAATGTATGTAAGAAAGCAAGAAACTGCAGCAGCAGAACCGATCGGGGGCAAAGTCTACGATACTGTTCCAACAGAAAACTAAGACTAGTCTTAACCCTTTTACGGTCTCACATTTGAAAATCGATCACCGGTGATCGATTTTTTCAAACTATCGTAACTCAGTCAATTTTTGAGCAAATTCGAACATCTAAATATCTAGGTTGAAGAGAAAGCTCCAGGCTATCCGTAGGAACAATCGCCGAAGCGATAGAGTGAACGGCTGCGATGCTACGAAGCTCGCGATCTGCGTCACGGCTCATTTGCGATTTGAGTGGGCGAGCTGGGTCTTGAGGACGGGTTTTTCCCTTTGCAGCTAGCTGTCGCCATAGAGACACGGATTCAAATGAGAGCATGGACTCGCAGCACTCCTCACAAAAAATGTGAGCTCGATGTGAGCAAGGAGAGGGAAATGGCTGTTGAATCTTGTTTCTCGTCGTGAATCAAGCACTGGGGCGATGTCGCTGCGCTGCAGCGCTGGATCCACGGCACGCTTGGTGTCGAATTGTAGCTTGGCGTGTTGCTCGTGTCCAGAGCTTTCCAGAGAGCCCAAGATCATGAAAATCAGCGAAGGGAAACTGAAGTTATGGATGAATCAAGGTACGAAATTGTTGAATTCTGTAAATAGCCTCATTTTGACTGGATTCTGAGACCGTGAAAGGGTTAAGTGAACATCAACAAAGGCTACTGTATAATCCTCATAAAAAGGACACACTTCAGGCTCATTACGAACATCTTGAAAGTTTTTGGTTTCACAAGTATACTTTCAAGCCTTCTCATCAGGTGAAATACAGGCAAGGGAAAAGGAACAGGAACAGTGGATTAAGTAGAGTAAGGAGGTGGTACTACTGGCTACTGTATAACATGTAATTTTCGATGTATCAAATTGTCGGTGCCAGGGACCTGCCAGGCTACTAGTTAGTCGTATGTGACTCTCTACGCTAATCGGCTGAGCTCCGCCACAACACATTCAGGTCAGTGAAACGATTTCCGGTCATTGCATACTGACCTTTGATCAAGTCTGTGTCTACCATAGCATGGGCTTGGTGTCTGGATACCTACAGACAGCAGCAAGAAGAACAACAACAACAACGACGACGACAACAGCAACGACGACGACAACAGCAACGTCAGCACCACCGTCACCAGCAAGAACAAGAGGAACAAGAGCACCGACAGGGTCACCACCACCATCGCCAACTACAACCGCGAGGGAGAGAAACTCTCAGAAATGCATGCAGCGAAGAACATAGTGACTATTACTCTTCCGTAAGCCCCTGATAAGCGTGTTTCCAATCTGTCACGCCATGAATGAATAAAACTAAGCACCCAATGCAGGCGGGTAAACCCTGGGCTGCTAACAGGAACTGTACTAGAACATACCGCAGTTTGAAGGCCGTATTCATGCAGGTACTGAAGATAGATTTCTGGTACACTCCTGTCACGCTCGGACACCTGCAGCAAAAAAAGGAATAAACCACACAAAAAGTCCCTAGTTGGTGAACAGGTTAAATGACGTATGCAGCAAAGAAACAGTATTTGAGTGTTTGAGTTGCGGTACCCTAAAAAGTCGCCAAGCCACAGAAACAGCATGGAACGACCATGATGTACAAGGACAGCAGCCATGGAAGTAGAGTAAACCTGCCCTGGCCGGACGCACTTGGAGTCTTGGTGCAGCGGAAGCTGTCCTGATATGGCAGGATTCCGCTCGATCCAGAGGGACGCACGTTCGGTCCAAAGCACTTTGCTGCACGAAAATGTGTCCGGTCAATACAGTATTCTGCTTGGTACAGGGTACGGAAAGCACAGGTTCAACTGCATTCCAAAGAATTCCTTCTGCTGCTTTGCTACCCGTCGATGAATGCGAGCAACACGACTACAAATGAAAAGTGTTATAACTATTCTGAAAGACAATGGGCGCTTTCGATTACACGTTTACACAATTCTGGAACTGGTTTTTTAAATTCTGGAATGACCAGAATGAGCGGATTCCGGCCTTGTAAATGAACGACTGGAATTCACAACGCATTTTATTCATGTCATGTCACAAACAAAATTGATGAATTGTAAAAAGAGATCACGTACACCCTCGCGCGCACGTGGACCCAGCATCGCGCACACGCTGGCCAGGGAGGCTCTTCGCGCGCTTGAGTCATGACCAGACCGGTAACACACCGACTGTGCAATTCTGGCGCCAGAATTAGAGAAATTCCGCCCTCTCTTCAGAATTGACGGATTCGACGGAATTGGATAAAATCAATTCTAACGACGGAATTTGTCACTTTTTGTGTAATCGAACTGTGCATCAACTATAACTAATTCTAGAATTGACCGACATGCATGTAATCGAAAGCGCCCAATAACTGCTTTACACGCCACCAAACTCAAAGATCTCCACGGGCGGCTTCTAACATCAACACTTCCTTAGTTATTTTTCCTAATCGGTATACCGTAAAGTCTTGTATAAAAGCCGCACTTGAATAGAAGCCGCGATTTTGGGCCCATCAAATCACACATAAACCTGGTTTTAGTGTTGACATACATAGAAATACCTGTCTTGTATAGAAGCCTGCAAAATTTCACCAAGAAAGTCATAGAAGCCGCGGCTTTTATACAAGACTTTACGGTATGTGTTTTCAAGTAAAACACAAGCACAAGGTCCACACAAATGATCAAATGCACAAGTAATGAGCACAATCTGCACCGCACAAGATACTGATAAGCTGGTCCTTTGAGCAGATCAAGAGCAGAATGCAGCCACTCACATCGGGAGGTATGCGTGACAGATCAGCCACTTCATCCCACTTGCCTTCTTTTTCAACCTGAGCATACAACGCACACAGCAGGAAATAAACAACACGAGTTTCAAATTTCCCGTTTCCCGTTCTACTTACATTGATCTTGCGTCACAATAAGGACGTCACAACTATTATTTTACTTTTCGTGTTCATTTTTTTCACCAAATGCCGGTACTGAACTTGAAGCGATGAGTGGTAACACGATGATGCTCCACTGGCTGAGTCAGTGCTAGCACAACACTGGGAATGGCCACACAACACCTGTCATCGACTTCCCTACCGGGTCGAATCTCATTCTGCTGCAAATTGTGCATGTCGCTATCAGGGTTCTCTGCACAAGTGCGCATGCATGCCCTGGCATGGTATGGTATAGCAACAAAAGATGATATGCCAAATAACGCGCAACTAGACTTGGGAGGGCATTGCAGAGTTGTTGCATACAAAGTTCAAAGTTGTACGGGTACCTGTGACTAGTATTCCTGCAGAGCTCAGGGCCTACCGTGTACACATTGTAGTATAATGTGTATGCAACTTGTGTGCGATGCCCTCTCAAGTAGTGTTGAAACGAGCGTATCTATAACAAACGAGCGATCTGTTCCACTAACGAGCAAGCTATCGAGCGAGCTAATGAGTTTCATTGATGTGGCAAATATGATTTTTTGAATTTTTTTTTCTAAGTTCGAAATTTTTTCAGCTGGTTCAAATTATCACCGCCGGCATTTGGGGTTGCTGCTGCTTCACTTCATACTGCTGTTTGGTGTCGAGATGTCTTTCAGCGCCGTCGTCGAGTAGCCTTTGTAAGAATAGACCGTTTTGCAAAGATTGCAAGTAGCCCTGTTCTTCGCTGCATCGCGGGAGAAAACTTCCAAACGACTGAGCGTAACTATTTTACTTTCACTCGAATGGAGAGGTGACCGAAGCATATCCTGCGACAGGTCAGCAGATGCGGAACAAGACATCAGTAAAGTCCACCAAAGCTGCAACGACAACTGAAACAACTCAAGTGTCGTGCAGGCATACAGTCACTGTAACTGCGAGTGATTTTCACTTTGCGCGGGACTGGACTCTCGATCGACCAGGGAGTTGTAAAATATTTTACGTCTCCCCTGTCGACATGTACTGGCATGTGTACGGAGTACCTTGTATGGTGTCCGTTAGTGCAAACGAGCTGGCCGCACAAACGAGCCGAGTTTCTGGCGAGCGAGCTAACGAGTATCCGGTGAGATCGTTTCAACACTACTCTCAAGTCTAGTTGCACGTTATTTGGCATATCATCTATTCAGGGTAGGACCAACTCTAACCCGAACCCTGTATACACTATCACCACAAGGTCTCCAATGGCATGCACATCATGCAGTATCAGTGATGACTCTCTCCACAGTGCACTCACAGTATTATAGCCGCCCAGTTTCTCAACGGCCTGGAAGACAGCAACGAGATCGGCCGGCACACAGTCAATCTGCACACGGCACAGAATGAATAGAATACAACAGAATGAACAGAATGAACAGAATGAACAGAATGAACAGAGTGAACAGAATGAACAGAGTGAAGAGAGTGAAGAGAGTGAATGGAATGAACAAAGTGAACGGAGTGAAGAGAGTGAACAGAATGAACAGAGTGAACAGAATGAACAGAGTGGACACCACACAAAGCTGTTGAAAGCACAGCAGAACACCACACAAAGCTGTTCAAAGTACAGCTCTTATGGATGTGTAATGCGTGTGAGCACGGGCAAGAGACTGTCTGCGTACAACCTGGAACATCAAGTGCAGTCTTGGAGAGTTGCACGCCTCGATTGCTTCGCTATTCGTACGGCTGTGAGTTTCAGCTGTGGTTCACAAGTATCGTTCTATCACATATTCTATCACAGATTAATACATTCTAGATTACACCAGGGCAGACATCGCCGCATGAACTCCTGTGGATGGGCAGGTGAAAATGCCAGTTTAGCAAACTGGCAACAAGCACTCACCGCAGAGCTGCGCAGGTCACCGCAGCCAGAGCCAAGCAGGTAGTGGTGTACGGCCGCTAGATAGCGCGAGTTGTATAGCCACCTAGTCACAGCGAACACAGACACAACGGCGAGGTCAATGATGAGGTCAAGCAGTACACACCAGTCTATACGCTCCAGTGGACTCTTGACTTCTCAGAGTGTATTAGTTTGAACATACTAGGATGCACAGCAGTAACGTTATACTGCTTGGTAACGGTAGCTACCGTCTTGGTGATTTTCTTGGATCGCTTCAGCCCTAATTCAAAGAACGAATCCAGTTGTTTCCATGGTGACAACAACACACCAGCAAGCCAGACACATATTTCAACAGGCAAGCAGAGCCACGACTGCACACGAGTGCAATTTACGAGTATCATGGCACATACCTGTGGAAGTACTGGTTGCAGTAGGTCATGTCGCATGATAAAGAGCATCCCTTCACCTTACTGATGTCCAGTGGCTAGTCAATACAACGACACATACCGGGGTAGGCAGACAGAATCATACCACCACACCACCACACATAGTGACACAGAGAGAAACAAGGCCAGGCACAATGAAAATGACGAAGACCGCAAGACCAACAACAACAACAACAACAACAACAACAACAACAACAACAACAACAACAACAACAACAACAACAACAACAACAACAACAACAACAACAACCACTGACATCAACGAAGGCAGAGGATCTTTTCAAAAGCCGTCCAATTACTTAGCTAGGTTGGCATTATCTTGCTAGCAAGTTGAGCAACAGTGCTCTTCACCACAAGATAAGGTTTCAAACACAAATTGAACACGGATGGAGAGCCAAGGTTTAATTTATACAAAAGAGTCCTTTCTCTTTTGTACAAATTGAACATGCTGACAACACCGTTAAAAGGCTACAACTCAGAGTTTCATGGCACGGAAGTCAATCATCAGCCAACAATGACAATGAGTATGATCACTATCGTCAACACTGATGTAAACACTACAGCGACTGCACATAACAGCGACTGCACATAACAGCGACTGCACACACACACACAAAAAAAACCACACACACACACACACACAGTGACTGCACATAACAGTGGTGGCAATTGAAATCCGACCCCCAGCTCGGTGCACTCACATTGCAAACGCGCGGCAAGCCCTCGTAACACTACGAAATAGAGACCGCTAGAATCGGTGCTGCACTCCAGCACGAAAATCAGGGGTTGGATTTCCGTCGCCACCACTGTACATTCACATACCTATACAGTAAACAATGGCTTAAGCGACCACCTCGCGGTGCAAGCAAAAGCGGTCGTTAAAGGGAGGTGGTCTTTAGAACCAGGTCCCACTGTGTCTGTGTAGAACTGTCGGTGCATGAAAAAACGGCCGTTAAGGAGCAGGTGGTCGCTAAACACAGAGGTCGCTTACACCAGGTTTTACCGTAATATGATCAGTGCCATAGTACTGACGACATCAACAACAGTGGCAGCACAAGGTGCAAACTACAAATGAGGAGCAAGCCTTCAAAACTAAGCCTACCTGTGTGCTGCATGGGTTGTTGATGATAGACATGCCGACGCCTTTACTGTGTGCATCCAGCCACTGTACACAGCTAGCGGGATCAGAGAGGACGTTAGCCGGTGGATGTGACACTGCTATTGTCTCTAGCTTCGCCGGCCGCCAGTCAATGGCGTTGGACGCTCGGCTAGGAAACAGCGTAGTGATACTGGTGTTGACGCTGGGAATACCACTGACGGTGCGTAGGTCGTGAGACCGCACCGTCATCTTGGGCTTTGGCGGTTTTCTCAGGCCATTGCAAAGGCCGCCCTTGTGCTGCTGGGCCTTACGTATGAGACCGGCGTTCTTCTTGAGTTTCCCACTGCCGGATTGGCTGTGGCTTGCAGTAGAACTGCTTGACGAGTCAGCAGGGGACGGGGGTTGGCTGTGACTTGCAGTAGAACTGTTTGGCGAACCTGCAGGTGACGAGGCACTGCCTGCGGCTGAAGGTTGAGGAGACGGGCTGCGTGACTGTACCATAGGTGACGGCGCTGTGTACCTTGACGGCGAGTTTGCCACCGATGATAGAGGCGATGTGGGACTGGCACTGGCTGCTATGGTGCTGTAGGGCGAGAGGCGGTTAAGTGGCAGCATGTCAGACTGGCCTGCTTCACAACTACCCACACTATCCGCTTGAGATACCTCCACCGGCGGGAAGTAGATAGCATGGCATTTTCTCTTGGCTGGGTGCAGGGCATGCTGAGACTGGATTCCTGCCGCGGAACCATGCATTGCCCCATTGTCCTCTTCTTCTTTGGGCCTGACTAGTCGAAGAGGAGGTGGATGAGGACCTTGCTGGAGCGACATATGGTGCAACGTGGTCGAGTTGATAGTTGAATCTGATAACGATCTTCCACTACTGGCATTATGCATCGGGGACCGCGAAGTTGCCGGCTTCTACACCACACAGAATACGAGAGAGAGAGAGAGAGAGAGAGAGAGAGAGAGAGAGAGAGAGAGAGAGAGAGAGAGAGAGAGAGAGAGAGAGGGCAGATCAGGGAAGAGCACAGTGGTAGCCTCTACATGGAAGAGAGAAGGAGCTGGACCATGCACGAACTAGCATATCAAAGCTTCTTCCAGGAATTCTTCACAACGCATGACAGTACACACATGCACAGCACATGTTCGCACAGTAGCTCATCCAAGTCGCAAGTACACCAGCACATGTACTTGTGACTTGCAGGTCTAACACACATACAATAGGCCATACAAACTGTGGCCAAACACTCACCCCTATAATTATCACAAACACTTACCGACACAGGCACATCACACCCACCAGAGTGAACATCAGGGGCAGCATCATCCGAGTCGGAATCTGACAGGACAATCACCTCGGTGCAGGGCTGTGCATTGCTGGATTTCCGTACAGCATGAAAGACACTGGCCGGCGCCACCACCACCGCACTGCCGCTGCTCTGCTGTGTGCGCTGCACACTGGTGTGAGCGGTTGCAGTGGATGCCGGCAAGGAGCTACTCGACGTGGCATGGCTCGGTAGTGCATCACGCTGCGGGGCTCTGGAGCTCAGCGGCGCGTGGTGCACAGTGATACCATTCCGGGGACGGTTGGCACCTTTCTGTAGGGAACCATCCGCAGCAGGTAAAACTGGCTTACAGAGCGTTGCAGAATAGCCGTTGGGCGCTGGTGCCGGTGATGCAGATGCTTTGCCGCACGCTGATGACCCCATTCTCGACGGGTTATATGTATTCGACGCAGTGAGATGTCCAGAGCCAGACGCATAACCATGGGCTGCACGTGGAGCCAGCTTAGACAGCTGAGAATCTGCAAGTCCAGCATCTCGATGTTGGCTGAAGTCCAAGCGGCACGCCACCGAGGAACCTATTGAAGAGCTGTCAACGTCGCTGACACTAGACGACGATGATACCGGCTGCAACCGTGGCTGAGAAACCGTGTCCGGGTGCGGGGCAGCGGTTCTCGCAGGACCAGAAGACGACATGGCCCGATGCGTGCCTGCTACATCCATAGAATGGCTACGCGGTAGTAAAGAATCAGACCTGACATGCAAGATACCAGATTGGCTTGACGTTCGCCGAACGCACACTGCTGCCGCCGTCACCGCTCCTGGTGCAGAACTAACAGCACCAGCTGCCGCAGCAGCACCGGTCGCCGATGAAGAAGAAGACGCACATGCACCCGGCAACGCATTTCCCGGCATTGGAGAGGCGTCGCCAATGGATGACGACGGTGTCGTGCACTCAGAGACGTCGGCCGTGACAGGCGGCGTGTTGAACGCGGCTAGACGCGCCGGCATGTCTGGGTGGCCGCGGAGCACCAGGAAAGAGATGAAGTCCTCGGTCAGACGCTCTTGCCCTGGCGTGGAGGGGCATGATAGAGATGTGGCAGAGAGACTGGACGATACCGACGTCCTTCTGCCAGGCGATAGGCTATTCTCTGGAAACTTGCGCTGTGCCTTGAGCCGGTGTTTTCTTCTGGTCACTGGTGCTGGTGCTGACGTGGCTGCTACTGCTACTTCTGGTGGTGGTGCTGCTGCTGCAGTTGCTACTCCACTGAAACAGTTCGTAGAGCCTGTAGGTGGTCTAACAGTCTGTGCTGTCACTGATGAATACACTCCCTGTGGCTTTCTTGGGCAGGCAGCGCCACTGCCAGCATCAACAGACAGACCACCTCCACCACTGACCCCAAGTAGCGACGCTTGTAGATGATCGATTCCGTTGTGCGTTGCAGAATACTTGGCGGCAGCAGCAGCATGCAGCTGCTGCACAGTGTGAGGCGCATGGCCGGGAGCTGGCGGAGGCTGCGCTGGCCGGAGGTCGGGCGTGAGCATGGAGCGCTTGACAGCAATCTGATGGTGAAGGACGTCGTCCTCTGATAGCGGAATGCCAGCGAACCCAGCATGGCTGCTTGGATTCGCAGGATGTGTGGCACTCCGTGCACGATTGGCTTTGGCCGAAGACGAGCGCTTAGCCGACGACTTCCTGGCATGATTGTTTGTGTGAGGTGCATGGCCTGTGTGCCCGGGCAATCGAGCTACTGGCTGCCGACTGCCAGGCATAGCACTGTTGGCCAGCGCCAGCCCGTTGGTTTCCGAGCCTGAAGAGCAACACCAAGAACAGTGGACAAGAAGGAATGTCAAATACATGCTGCACACGCTCTCCAATCACGCCTGCGCACAGAATGTCAAATACACGCTGCACACACACTCTCCAATCGCGCTTGTGCAGGCAGCATGACGGTCTACAGCGCATACACACAGGCCTTACACAAACCTAACCAATAAGCCTTTTGCGCGTTGTACAGATGTACGAAGTTCAGTACTAGGGCATAGGTGTGTACAGACCCGATTGGGTGCTCATTGTGTGCTATGCATGCGCATTTGACCAATTTTAGCCTCATAATTAATGGCAAACAATCCCTTTTCCAGCTTCTTCATTTTGGTTAGAACTAATGACTAGCTAGATCTTTGTCAGAAAAGGTTTTCGTTTGAAATGCCTTCAGGGCCCATTTCTTAGTGGAAATAGCAGAAAACACAACAGGGTCCTGCACATTCAACACCCATTAGGTTCTCAGGATTCTACGGGATTTCGTGCATCTGTACAACGCGCAAAAGGCTTATACAGTGTAGTGTAGCGGACTATCAAGCACAGTACAGTGTATCGTAGCGGACTTGTATCGAGCACAGTACAGTGGAGCTCACTTAGTACGTACTCTCTGATAAGACATACACTTGTCTAGTATGGACATTGTCCGGAGCACGTGTGCACCAATCCATACTGAAATATGTTGGGATAAGAACTACATTGGATACCAACTACACTTTCCTCCTGCACATGGGGTATGTCTTATCAGAGTTCTACTGCTACATGTACCAGTAGAACATACTGTAAGCTCCCGGCGTTCCCGGCACCCACAGCACATCTAGATGCAAGTGCGTGTGTACATGTGAGTGCGTGCATGTGGGTGTGCATGCGCATGTGTGTGTGTGTGTGTGTGCGCGCAAGCGCGCGCGCGTGTACACGGTATGTGTATTCGTGTGTGTGTGTGTGTGTATGTACGTGGCTGCGTCGATATGGTGTACGTCGCACGGCAGTTGATGGAGAAGACGTTGGAGCATGATTCAGATGCATATGTCATGTTCGTCGATCTGAGAAAGGCGTATGACAGTATCCCGCGTGCAGCGCTGTGGCAGGTTCTCCAGAAGCTTGTTGTTCCGCCGGCAATGCTCCGCATCATTCAGTCACTCCACAACGGCATGACTGCTTCTGTTCGGGTGGATGGCAAGCTGACTGACCCGATAACTGTGCGGAATGGATTGCGTCAGGGCTGCACTCTCGACCAATGCTCTTCAATTTGTACTTCTCTGCCGTCGTTGCCAGTTGGAGGTCCAGTTGTCCGGACGCTGGCATATCCTTTCGATATAAAGTTGGTGACCGAACGGCGAAGGGCAAGCTCCTGTCATCAACGGTCACAGAATTCCAGTTTGCTGACGACGCTGCACTCTACGCAACATCTCGGCCTGCCTTCAAAGCGATGACTTCCAGCTTCATCACATGTGCAAGCAGCTGGGGCCTAACGGTCAGTGTGAGAAAGACCAAGGGTATGGCTGTGGGTGAGTCTGCTGATCGCCGTGACGTTGTTGTTGGAGCAGACACGATTGAGGTGGTGGACCAATTCACCTACCTTGGCAGTGTGCTCTCCTCGGATGGTCTTGCCTGTGCTGATGTCCGCTCCCGCCTTGCGAAAGCCTCAGCTGTGTTCGGAGCCCTCAAAGCTCCTGTCTTTGATAACAAGACCCTGTCGCTTCGCAGCAAGAGGCATGTCTATGAGGCTGTCGTCCTCACAACCCTCTTGTATGGTGCGGAGACGTGGACCACCAAGGCAGGCCACCTCCAGAAGCTAAACACGTTTCACCATCAGTGTGTTCGGCCGTCGTCAACAGTGGGATGATCGGATCTCAACGGCCACATTAGCGGCTACATTCGGTGTTGACCCTGACATCACCAGCATCATCCGTCGCCACCGGCTTCGTTGGCTGGGTCACGTCGGCAGGATGGACGACTCGCGCGCACCGAAGCAATTGCTGTTCGGCGGGCTGCCTGCCCCCCCCCCCCCCCCCCGTCCTCGTCACGGCCCGAAGAAGAGGTGGCGAGATGTGGTGGCGACTGACCTGGCGGACCTCGACGTGACCACCTGGCTTGAGAGTTGCCAAGATCGTCCCGGCTGGAGACGAGTTGCGAGTAGCACTCCACCGCCACGGCCCGCTCCTGATCCTCTTCTATGTGTCTGTGGACGCCCGTTTCGTCGACCAGGAGACCTGAAACGACATGCCAAGTTCTGCGCTCGTGTTCTCACTTGAACTTTCCGACATTCGCTATCATTGCGTACGCAATGGGCAAGATCAAGGTCAAGGTCAAGGTACGTATGTGTGTGTATGTGTGTGTGTATGTATGTATGTGTGTGTAGTGTGTGTGTGGTGGTCGATTCACATGGCTTCGCCAGTTGTTTGGATTAGACAGTTATCTGGCGCACAAGTCTTGATCTGTCTCATTCAGATCTTGTTCGCTATCGTTGCTATAAGAGAAAATCTGTGGGTGCACATCCAGTGCATGTGCAGATTTGCGTGCTTCTCTTGCGACGGGCGTATACATGGTATACATGGTGTGTGTGTGTGTGTGTGTGTGTGTGTGTGTGTGTGTGTGTGTGTGTGTGTCAGCTAGTTCGGTTGGTGAGTACACTTATGCCTGATTGCGTTGGGTCTGTTGCCAACGGACTCGGCTGCTTGAAGGTGTAATGTTGTACCTGCCACCTTTGTTGGTTCCAGGGTTCATATACTTTCTATTTGAAGTGTACGTACCTGTTAACCATGGACTGCTTTTGGCTAGATTAACTCTTGTGTAATCAATGGTGCTAGTGAAGCTTATATCAGCTCCACTCTGATTTAGCCACCCACACTAGTAGCAAGTATTACCTTCACTGGGGGCAGGGGTACCTGCAGTTGGATCCCTGGACGGATACCCTGATGCCGTCAATCCTTTTTCTGCACCTTGTCCTCACCCACTTACTGAGGTGTGGTGAGCCCGTAAGCGGGATCATTTTCAAGTCCACCCAGAGTTTTGGGGATTTCAGGGGGTGTCGGCCGTTGGGCGGTTCAATGGCCAATTGAGTCATCTTTCCAAGATTCCTTTTGAGTCTCCCCCGGGGAGACCCACGTGACCAGTTTTGGCAGTGAGCAACAAGTACAAGTACAAGTGTGTGTGTGTGTGTGTGTGTGTGTGTGTGTGTGTGTGTGTGTGTGTGTGTGTGTGTGTGTGTGTGTGTGTGTGTGTGTGTGTGTGTGTGTGTACTCACTGTGATGCGATGCCTGGCCAGAGCTTTCCAGGCGACGCGCCTCCCGCTTCTCCCGCCGCCGCTCGGACAAGCTCTCCGATATGGCCGCACGCATGGCTTGGTCCTCATCGTAGTAATAGCCGCCTTGGTAGTTCTGCAGTGTGACAGGCAGACAGACAAGGGACCAGAATGTCAGAAAATACTTCAAAATAGGGTAGGCACTGTACACAAACCTAAAACTTGCACAGCACTCCAAAACAGAGCACTCCAACACCACCAGCACTGGCACAACTGATCACCAATAAAATACACCAGCATGCAGTGTGTGCACAAGAGCTGAAGAGCTCATAACACTGAACAAAGAGTGAAAGAACTGAAGTAATACAGAACTGAAGTAATACAGAACTGATCAGGAGCTGGCTGGGTGAGAGCTGGCAGTTTGCGCAGGCGTGCGTGTGAGGTATGATTTAGACCATCACACCTGCCATGCATGCATGTGATGTATGATCATAACCGTCATACCCAACATCAACAAGTAAATACAAGCACTGGTGTGAAGTAGAGTGCTACCTGATAATTTCCTCCCCAAGTCGGCCACCTCCAGGCGTCCAATAAATGTGCACTGGGCAATCTTAGTCGGGTGATACGGTTACATCCATGTACATGTACACGTCCATCATGCTTGTAAACGTGCTACATTTAGTACAGCCCCTGGGTTTTCCTGTGAAATCAGAATGTTCTTTTTCATATCGGTTTTCCGAGAGATGATAAATTCCGGCCAGTTTGGAGCAGTGGGCGTAGAAGTCCAACGGCTACTACAGCACAAGCACAATGCTGACAAGTGAAATCCAACAAAGAGTGCATGTACCCTCAGAGTCCAGTTCAACTGCACAGGCCTAGTTTCTGTAGTACTGTGACCGTGCAGCCGTGTACTACTGATGAGCGGTTGACACTTGTGGACTTTGGTACGAGGTGATTTGGCACTTTTTTTAAATATATTTTGCTTTTTGTACTACTGTTGTGGATATTGAAATGCGGTGGAATGACCGGGGCTGGCGTCCTTACTTGCTTAGTGCCTACACATCATGTATTTGAATGTACCACTGCTAAAAAAAGACCAGCAGTGCTCGCTTGCAAGGCCAGCGCCCCTTCACTTCTCAACTGGTTTCAAAGTCTGCAACAGCAGTAACTCTCAACGACATGACATTGTACTGACATGGACCATGCTTGACTAGACCCGCACCATGACACACTGAGTACGGAGGAAGCAAATACAGCAGCCAGGCCACCTGCCTCCCTGGACAACAGCCAAGAGCTGACTGAGCAACCACAGGATCCAGAGCAGGCGTCTGTCCATGGCCGTGTGAAAAATACCCTGGCGCATTTCCACCAAGCACAGTCTCAAACGTACCTTAGTAACCTAGACCTGGACTCTCAGGGCCGGTGCCACTGGTACGGCCATGACCAGGTTTTACCAATCCCACCATGCATGAAATGTCCAGCGTGTAATTAAATTAATTATTTATACAGAAGTACTATCATACTATTCTCATACATTCCTCACTAGAGTCTCTCCCTCCCAAGCTGTTCTTTCTGTTCAGTGAGGACTACCGTACTGGTTTTATATCCGTTGCCAGCGGAAAGTGTAGCTACAGCAACCACACATGATGCATAGAGCGAGTGATGCATCTTCCCACGAAAGGCATGATACTAAAGCTGCATAATCAGCCCCGTAGCCGACCCGGGGCCCGTATCGTCCCACAGGAGCTGGTTCCTGGCCTGACTTTACAGTGCAGGTCATTGGATACTGAAACTGAGCATGGGCGTATAATCACCCCGCAGCCGACCTAGGGCCGTACCACCCTTCAGGAACTGGCTCCTGGCCTGACTCTACAGTGCAGGTTATTGGATACTGAAACTGAGCATGGGCGTATAATCACCCCGCAGCCGACCTAGGGCCGTACCACCCTTCAGGAGCTGGCTCCTGGCCTGACTCTACAGTGCAGGTTATCGGATACTGAAACTGAGCATGGGCGTATAATCACACCGCAGCCGACCTGGGGCCGTACCACCCCCCAGGAGCTGGCTCTACAGTACAGGTCATGGCAGTGGGCTTTGAGGAGTAGGTTCACTTCGAACCAAATCTGCGCGTAGTGCCACAAGGACCAACAGGGGGACAGTTCGTCCGCACACTAAACAAATCCTCTGTAGCTCTGGCGATGTTTCTGCAGTCAAATGCATAACCTTCAAGATGGCAATGGTAGCTACCTTACTCATGCTGCAACAACAGGCACCTTGCACACATGACCTGTGCATACACGCAGAGTGCTTAGCTTGATGCCTGGAACTATGGAGACTCGGAAGAAGGGGGGGGGGGGGGGGGGGGCGTCAACAACCTGATGCTCGAGTGACTAACCATTCAGCGTAAACTGCAAGACAGGTCTAAACCACAATGGCCAGAAGACCGAAGACACCTCGTGTCATTCTTTATCACTGATCTCAGACAGCAAAATCACCGCAGGCACAAGAATGCTATTGGAAAATGACTCTGCAAAGCCGTTGGTGCGGCAAGAGGACATTGATGGGCAGACAGTTCATGACAGCAAGCCCCCTCCAGCGTAGCCAGTCAGTGAATCAGCCCAACTAAGCGACGGCCAACTACCACCAGTAACACCCCTGTCAACTTAACCAAGCTCTATGGCAAGTACAGGTCGTCCCTCGTTAATACATAATCTCTGGGACTTGACAAATGTTATGTATTAACGGGGTTTATGTACTAAACGAAAGTGTACATATCTTGCTTGTGTATCAGAATTTTTCACTTTTTTCAACTTTTCAGAGTGTTTCTTGCTGCCATGACTAGGGAGCGATATTATTCTTGATTCCCTCGATATATTTAAACATAAAAATTATGTTATAACGGTCACAGTCAGCGGAGATTCTACAGTTTTACTGTAAGACCAGAAATTTTACATGATACCTGCCCAGTCGCACCTGTACAGTCACTCGGGGAAAAACAGAGCTTTGTCAGTTTGTGATGTCCGCTCTGATTTCTGAGCTAATTGCGTCCACCAGTAGAAACTAGAACACGATGTGCCTCCACTGGAAGCCCAAAAGATCAACAAATTATGTACTATTGGGGTAGGTGGCATGCGGGTACGGAGAAATGTTATGTACTAACAGGGTTTATGTACTAACGAATTATGTACTAACCGACACAATTTGTATGGAAATGACCACGTTTCGTCCGGGACTTGAGATTTCTTATGTACTAACGGGGTTTATGTACTAACCGGACTCGTATTAACGGGGGACGACCTGTATTAGCCGGTATTGCCCACATGTGCGTACTCAGCAGGGGGCTGTAGCACCATAATAATATGTCTCTAATATCGACTGAGTACGAGGGCAATGCAGGAAAATAAAAGCAGGATAAAAGACTGAGGTGAAGCCGGGGTCTTTTACGAGGCTTTTTGAGTCAATACTAAGACAGTGATAATAATACACATCGTATGTTAGCGCCTTTAAAGCCATGGCCTTATATTCAAAACACCGCTGCTTTCCTAGCTATTTTTAAAAACAGATGCAAAATGATTCACCCACTACGCCATGCCATAAAAGTCAAAATCCACACAGAAATTTCAATCTAAATCCACTTGTTCACCCTTCCTGCTGGGCTGTAAGTTTGTTAGAAAGAATAGTACTTATTCCTTCATTTTTACAAAACATACTTCAAATATCATTTCATTTATGAGGCCCGTGGCTTTATAACTGAGCCTGGCTTTATAATCGAATAAAGCTTTTTCAAGGACGCCGTTCCCGCCATCGCCCCGGCGCTCACCCCGAGATTGTGGTGAACAGGTTACATGTCAAAACGCATTGAAAAGTATACGACATGTGACAAGCTCGTCTCCACCAGCGCTTGGAGCGATTCTGAAGCTTGTTCTTTTTTGCCCAAGCCATGGAAGGGCTTCCTGGCAACTGCTCTGACTCAACACGAGTGTCGGATATCAAGTGGAGCGCCATTCTACTGCTTCTTTCACCTCCACTCATCCATTCCCATACAAAGTGAACGTGAACTGGGCTTCGCCTGTTCACCAGCAATCAAAAATTTCTCGCACGTGACCCTTGGTACAACCTTGAAAAAGCTCTACTTTTTGTATACCTCCATGGCTTTAAAGGTGCGGACATACGGTATGAACAGTTTGAATACGTGACGAGGGGACAACAGTTTCAAAAGCTCAGTAATACCATGTTGAGTTTGGATAACATAATCCACTACATGACATCACATAAGTACGCTTTTTTTTCAATTTCAAATACTGTAACATCCATGAATTACATGTATCTGAACAACACACAATGTACAAGTGAATGTGCATGACATGCATGTACAGCAAGCCCACTTGCAGTACACATCTACAACAAAGCCTCGAAGGCACCATTCCACTGCGCTGTGAAATCAAAGTGCCACATGGGAAGAAACAATGAGAAGCACTGCAAACCAACGCAACGCATACGTACTGATGTGCCAAAGCATTTCTCAACGCATCTACAAGCTGACACTCTGTCTTCACATTTCACTAGCAACTTCCGGTCATCCCGCAATGGTAGAAGGCATTTCACACCTCAGAGCCACAAACATTTGAAAAGTGGCGGTCAAAGTAAAGAGTGCTTGAATTGTAGTACTATAATTATTAGCAATGAGGAGAAATTATCCAACAGCTAAGTAACTCTTTGCACGTCTTCTCCGGGCACAGCGGTCAGAGGACAAAGCGCCTCTTGGTTTATGAATCACATCTAAGCGTACCAGACTCGTCTGGCAAGAAAGGGCATTCATGGACACATTTTGGTACTTACGATGACGCGAGAAGGAACATTTCGCCTGGGTCTATCCATGTCTGCTTCGCTCTAGTAATGGAGAGTTAGCTCTACAATGTACCCATCAACGCTAGAATTTTAGCTCATATCCAGTAAAGTAGAATTCGATCCATGCTGAGCTGAGAGAGAAATGACTAAGCAAGTGTGAGAACGGTGAAGATCATTTGGCAGGTGAGCCCAAGGCTCCACTCCTCCACGCACGAACAGCGCTGCATGCTCCACAAACCTCTCATTTTTATCATCAATCAGATTCAATGCAACATCAGCACGCCTAAACTGTACCGAGAGAGATGGCTACAAAAGGGGACCCTTATCTCGGAGTGTTCAGCCTTTCTGGCCGCGTCAAACACGGCTCGATTTTCCAATATTTTCTTCAACAAACCAATATTTTCTTCAATCCAGGTGAAAACTGGCCCAGAAGGGCCGAAACCCAGCGAACACGAGATAAAACGCCAGGAATGTTCGGAAAACGACGACTGCAAACCACCCATCTCAGCCTTCGCGGCTTTGCCCCCGCGATCACGTGCGTACTAAAAAGAAAAAGAAGAAGGAAAGATCAGCTGTGCTGCGTGTGCATTATCTGTGCATGTGAATCGTGATGGTGTGGATACTGTGCATGTGGAAGCCAGGGAAAACTGCACACACAGCTGATCATGATCGTCGATGAGCCACGAATTTTATCTTCTCAAATCAGTGTTTGAAAAGTTTGAAAATTATGTTCATTCAGACATCTGTGGTCTTGTCCTTCTCTTGCTACAAACAGTAACAGGAATGATAAAAGGCCAAGGCGTGAAAAGGTGCTGTGTGCTGCTCCGTGGGGAATATAAGGCCGACCACCTGCCTCCTGTGTTTCGGCAATTTGTTCGTCATGACAAAGGATTTTACGCTCCTGGCAGAGTAAGAGTTTGTAAAAACGTGTTGCATTTGTTTGTTGCAACGTTGCACAGAAATCAGACGAGGGCCAGGGAACTGGGCTATATTATTAACCTGTGTAGCATCATGTAGCGAGAAACTGAGTAGACTTTGCAACGATGATGAGTCAGTGTAAGGCTCCCACATTCTCAAACTTTAGTCAAAGGCCTGGCTACACATCACAAAAGCCATGTGAGTGCAGCGTTGCGTAGCTAACTGATCGTTGAATTACAAGTAGGAGATGCTTTGATAGGCGCTGGAAAGTGCAGCGGTGCGTGTGATGATAGCACTGGACAAAAGCCATGCCATCTTGAGCAGCAATTTCAATCTTCAATTGTGGACGTCCTGAGCAACATGTGTGTGTTTAGCTCTTCAGCACAACAGTGCGGCGAAACGGCCATCAACAGCAGGCCCAGATAAGAAACCAGACATTCCACGTCCACATGCACAGTCTGAAATAGGTGTCACTGACCATGTACTTCGAAGTACAGTCAAATAATAATCACAGTCAACTAACTTCGCTAATAACGACTGCGGATATAACGACAATTCGCGAATAACGACAGCATGTCCATGCCCAGAGCAAAGTCCCTTCCAACTGTAATACATAATTATAATGAGACTAATAAGGACACTTTTTTGATGCCCCCCCCCCCGCCGAATGTCGTTATAAGCGAAGTTGACTGTACACATATTGTGCATACAGTCATTGAAGCCTTTTCCGAAATCTGTTGAAAATGATTTGTTTGCATGGGGGGGGGGGGGGGGGGAGGGTGATCAATGTCATTCAGTCCCTGTATTGCTGCTACGTACGTGAATTCAGTTCGAAGTACCCCGTACACCATACTAGTACTGGTTTCTGCTCCGCTTGATAGCTTACGAGCACTTGCTCACCTGTGCTTGTGGCAAGGAAACACTATAATTATCATATAATTATGCATGTACTTGTCATGATAGCTCAGGAGCTGTGGCATCATTCATTATCCACAGCAAGAAGGCAGCAATGCCTGCGCCTATGGTGGAGTAAGATGAGGATAACATAACACACTGAAGTATTGTATACACGTATCTTGGTGCCTTGCTAGTACATACAGAACCATAATGCTGGCCCCTGCTAAAGCATGCCCGCAGCTGTTTACAGCCATGCAAATTCCAATGGCCACAATGTAGGACACAACCTTGTTCACACAACTCGTGTGGCATGTTGCAGAACGTAACATTTTCAGCTGAGTAGTAATACCAGTATGACTAACTATCTTGAGCTCCTGAAGAATGAGTCTGCACATGGCACAAACTGTGGATAGCAGCAAGAGTTCATAACGGGGGGGGGGGGGGGGGGGGGGGGTATGAACTCTTGATAGCAGTAAGAGCACTGCAAGGTGGATTCTGTGAAAATTCCGTCAGACACCTGTGCATGATTTCAAACCTGTTTGACATACATTATTTGATTGTGATGTGTGATTACGGCTGGTACAGAGCTCCTGCTGATGAGATATGACTTGTGTTGCAACAAGCTTGCAACCTACAGGAGCCCCAGGTGGTGTTCTTTGTCACACCGACACAACGATAGATTGCTCCTATCGGTGCAGTAGATTGACAGGCATCAATGCACAAGCTCGTGGGGTAGTTGATTGCAATGGAAGACTGGCTACATGCACATGTATATTGCTGGTCTTCGTCTGCTCAAGCTGCTACAATGTATTAGGTAATTGCAATGCATGTGCAGTGGAGCCACCCTTAGAAGGCCTGTGGACGGGATGTAACCATGCCATGGAGGCCCATGTCACGGGCTGGGCTGGTGGCTGCTGTTCAAAATGAGATCTGCCCCCAAGGACGTGGGTGTTTTGACCAGTTCTACCTGTTGGCATATAATTTATTATTAGCACCTTCGCAATGTAAGCGGGTTTGCAAACTTCGCTTGTGTCATTCAGGATAATAAAGAAACAGAAAATAGAAAATGCAGGGGGACGAAACCATGAGAATTCGAGGGATCATAACTTTCATAAGTTCATAACCCGTTGTTGACATAACCAGCACATTATAGCTTATAGGACCCTGCTCCGGCTTATAGGACCCTGCTGTGGGCTGGCCACCGGAATGGGACTCTCAAAGGAAAGTTTACGATTGCCATCTCATCTCCCACTGGTAAAGTGTTGTTCTTTGTTACTCTTTGTGATGTTGTGCACCTGCAGAAGACCTTTATAGACTACAAACGAGTTAACTTTACCGGTGGCAATGGTGGAGATGGCTGCGCTAGCCTGCACAGGGCGGCTAACTTGCCGAAACTTGGCCCCGACGGTGCTGACGGCGGTGTGGGCGGCTCGGTCATTCTCCGGACCAACCACAACATCAAGTGCCTGAAAGGCCTCATGCCGCAGTACAAAGCGGACAGAGGGACTGCAGGCTCCTCAGGACGAGCGACCGGTCGACAAGGCAAGGATGTCGTTGTGGAGGTGCCCGTCGGCACTATAGTCCGCGACACCAAGACAAAGGACGTGCTGTGTGATCTGGTGTACGACGAACAGGAGTTCTTTATCGCTAGGGGCGGCCATGCGGGCGTTGGCAACATGCACTTCAAGAACTCGGTCTACCAGGCGCCGCGTGAATCAATCCAAGGCGGGGCTGGTGAGAAGGTCTTTGCCGAGCTGGAGATGAAGTGCATTGCTGATGTCGGCTTGGTTAGTGAGGCACTCCTTAACGTTATTATAATGGTTGATTGCTTCCTGCATGTTCGTGTTCAACGGTTTGTCCATGTGAAACGTCCAATCCAGAGTGTGCAATATAGGTGTAGAGTCCGCGGAGCAGAATGCGAGGCATGTGTGTGTACTCGGAATGGGCACATTCAGTTACTGACGTTAGCATGTACACTTCCCTATGGTGCTCGCACACCGTTTGCTTGCACAGATCCTGTCTTCGCACCCCGCGGAATCCCACTCTGCCTGTTATACGAAGTAAAGGCAGACTATAGAATTCCTGGGATGGTCGGTGTCTGGCCGTGTCATGGTGTTCTTCACGTGTAGACTACTGAAGGTAGCCGAGCACGTCCGTCAAGCATGATGTTTGCTGCATATCCGCTATTGCTACTCATGTGTGCTGTGCTTAGGTTGGCTTCCCGAATGCGGGCAAGTCGAGCTTTCTGAGGGCGGTTTCCAAGGCCAGGCCGAAGGTTGCCGCCTACCCGTTCACCACACTTCATCCGCACATCGGCATGGTGGAGTTCCCGGATGAGGAGCTTATGAGCATCCCAGGTGAGCAGTTTGTTACATTGTACACCCGCCTAACTTGGTGAACCACATCCGTTCAACATTTAGCTTGTTCATGTACAGTGGTGCAGTGTGCAAGTAGCATAAGAAAGAGTATCCCGACGCATATGCACATGTCATCATGGGTAATCTAAACGTATTGTAACTTGCTTTCTTTCTCCGATGCATCATTGTTGGAGTTCCTAACTTTGACTCGGCCTGGACTGCTTGTGCATGCTGTTATTGACAGTATCTACTGGAAAGGGGGACGTTTTGGTGGGGATGGGGAGGATCTCTCGGTGTCCAAAAGCAGCCAGGTGTTGTGACGAGCCACCAGTGTCTCGAATCTGAAAATAGTGCAGTGCATGCGGAACGGACCGGTACCAATTCACTTTTGCTGAGGGTAACGTTTAGAGCAAGCACTCCTTTCGCTAACGTCACTAAACTGACCTGGTGGTGTTTACACTATTGTAGTACTGTTTCTAGTATTTTAGAAGGAAGTTCAGAACTTCTCTCTGGTCAACCTGCAAGTTTTGAGTTCAGGTCATCAAAAAAGTCTCAAGCAACTCAGGCTTTCCTCTGCTTTGTGTGTGTGTGTGTGTGTCTGCCACTTGTCTCAGTTGCCGATATCCCAGGGCTCATTGAAGGTGCACACGAAAATAAAGGTCTGGGCCACTCGTTCCTCAAGCACATTGAGCGTTGCTCGTCGCTGCTGTATGTAATTGACACGTCCATGGGCTTGGAGTTTGCTAAGACCCAGTATGACAAGCTGGTGTTTGAGCTGGAAATGTATAAGGAGGGCCTGTCCAAACATCCGTCGGCCGTCATCGCATCGAAGATGGACATCTCCGAAGACCTGGGCAGGACACTGCGCTGTCTGCGCGAGCACACCAACCTCCCGGTAGAGTGCTGTTCATCAGTCACGGACCAACGCATTGAAGATGTCAAGCTGTTTCTGCGCCAGTTCCAGCGCAAGGTGCAGAAAGCTCCGGCAGCCAAAGCACCGCCACCAGGTACTATTCTGAATATGGAAGGCAAGCCGTCCCTGCTCAACTTGTTCAGGAATTTCCCCAAAGTTCCTGAGCGACCGAAAAATGAGTAGAGGCTTCCAAGCATTTTCCCATACACACCAACATTGCCCTGTGCCAGTCCTTGTCGCAGATGTTCAATTCACTGCCTGGCACGCCAGACATATACAGTGGCCAAGAGTGGCAAGATGATCTCCATCAGCTTGATGCTATCCAAGGGACGGTGAACTCTGGGGCTGTGCTTGGGTTTCTGGCCATCTCCCCACCGCGGTGGGGTTCAGCGCATCAGAGGTCACCAAGTTGCCACGGAGCAAGCTGCCATTGACTGCGTGTTCTTTCAAAGCACAGCCTGCACATGTGTGCTTGTATGGCGGAGTCCTCCGGAGCATTGCTGTACTGGACTGTGGCTATTTCTTCTGACTGCTCCATCACGAGAACGGTTGCTGTGTGGCTCTAACCCATGCAATGCACTCTCTCCGCTTGCTAAAGTCCAGCAAGATAACTAGAATGTACATGTATGTACATGGACATCTTAGGCAGAGGAGCAACCAGTGTTACACGTAGGTGTATTAGCTGCGTGAGTAGCATGAAATGATCGTACTTCCTGGTGAGTACTGCTGGTATGGTAGATCTACCGCATGCGAATAATATTTATCATTCTGCCTTGTTCTGCGCTGTTTTCTCCAACGCGCACGCTCGGCAGTCTTTTTCCATCTACTAGCACGTGCTGTGCAGGTATTAACCTTCTTCATCTACAGCAATAACAACACAAATTGATACATTGTCATCACTTTGTAACATATCTAAAAACCCTTTTTGAACTGAAGCTTCGATTCTGGGCATTCACACGAAAAGTATTGTTGCAGAGCTAGCTGCATTGCAGCAGCTGTCGGTGACTCTCATGATCAGACTATGATACTAAATTTACTTTGGCCAGCAACTTCAACAGGTTTATGCGGAGAAAAATTTAAATGAAAACACCAACACTATGTGCAAACACAGAGGAACTAGTACAGCATAAAACAGAGAATACACATCCCAAAAAGGCGTCCAGAGTCGATAACAACCATAAAGAGGGGCGCAGGGGACGAAAATGTACATGGCATAACGTACAGCACGGATAAAATCGAATGCAATCATTCCAAGGCACAGTGTAAAAATGGAGCTGAAATCAAAGCAGAAGCTCGCCAATCCAAAGTAACGAGCTGTACTGGCAGCAAGGGCTACTGTGGCTGCTGTCCAGGACACAGCACTAGCAGTTATTAGGTTACAGCAGCGTAGTGGTGATGTGGTGCCATTGACCACACTGGGAGGCCAATGCACTTCATAGAATAGACCTACAATAGTTTTCACGAGAGCGGAGAGGAACCAGTTGGGGGCCATCGCTGATGGCGAAATAAGAAAACGGCTCGCTAGGGAGGTCAATCTTAGTCCTCTTTCCACTCAAATGGCTCCGGTGGATCTGGCTCAGGGCCATCTGGAGAACAATAAAAAGGACAATCAAGATGTCAATGAAAAACCTTGGAACTCCTGAAGCTAAGACATCATGCACAAAATTCACGAATACAGCCATCAATGAATTTGCTGTCTGATGATCCGCCCACGGCGTACACAATTTCCAAAACAGGCAATCACTTGGATAATTAGAACCATAACTAGGTCAAGCCTGACTTTGGTTGTTAACCCTCTCAGTGCCACAGGCGATAAAGTCGCCCGGAATGAGTATGTGTGTACAAATAAATTCGTATCTCCACTTCTACACACAGGAGAGTTACAAACGACCACTCTACGTCTTCAGGAAGACCTTGGCTATCGACTCATCACATCGTTTTGTGTCCGTGAGGATAGATATCGCCAGGACGAAGCCTGAAGCGCGCGCGCTCGGATAAACAATTGTCGCGCGTAGAAAACATGACGTATGCGCATCGCGGGTTTCTCTATTTCTCTCGTGGCAACCCATGCGTATTGGGTATCAAAACATCGAGGTTTTCAGTGGCTTTCAGGCCAACTTTGTCCGAATTTCGTGTGTTGAAAGTTGACTGCACTGCGATCGATCGCGCGCGTGAGAAAGTGTAGATGCTACGAAAATGCAGAAAACGGACTTCGCTCAGTCGCCCTCGCGAGGAAGACTATTTTCGCTGCATTTTCTCTTCACAGCTGTCTGCCTGGCCATGATATCTTTCTAGAGAGCCATCGTTTGTAAAGATCCGTGGATATACAGCTGAGCTATGAAAAAATTGAGTTCGGCTCAACTCAGAAAAAATTGAATTTTTCTGACCCCCTTGGCACTGAAAGGGTTAAGTGTCTTCTAAAGGCTACTACCGTGTTATCTCTAATATAAGCATGGTCCTTTATTTTTTCAATGTACCTCCGCCCCGTGCTATTAATGGAGACGTTCCTTTATTGGAGACTGTTCCATTATTATTTCAACCTCATTTCAGAGGCATGTTGCCATGCCAAATTCATGTCAGACACACACATTTCAGGGGTTTTTCGCCGGTACAGATAATGAATTTACACAGTGCGCGTATAATGGAGACTGAGCACTTTATTTTTTGAATGCCGCCCCAAGGTGTTCTATTATTGGAGACGTGCTATTATTGGAGACTGTGCTTATATCAGAGATAATACGGTAGTACCAGAGAAAGTGAAGCGCACTCACAACAGCAAGAGTGGGCAACGCAAAAAAAAAGGAAAAAGAAAGACGAAGAACAGATTACAATTCGGTGGGAAACTCACCAATTGCAGGCGTGACAAGGTCCTCGGCCTTGCCACGTGTAGAATCTGCTGCCATAATAATTCCGCCGTGGCCAAGCTACGCGTACATTGAGAACACACACACACACACACACACACACACACACACACACACACACACACACACACACCGTAAGTATAATATGGCAGGTGTGCTAAAGTACCATGCATACACTGAAGCATGCGACCACTAGAGAAAGAGGCCACTTGCCTTCAAAGAACGGTCATCTCAGGCACCAAGCCGTAAACACCTACGTTGAGCGGCCACATTCTTGTCTTTCGTACATAAGTGATCACATCGAAGCTATTAGGGGTCGTCGCAAAAGTTTTCTGTCGTCCCTGAAACGAACATCGTTCATTTCGTACTTGGACCCCCTCCCCTCCCTCTGAAACGAACACAGCTTGCTATGCTGGACGACGAAAATCGCATGCATGTACATGTCATATGTACAGTGTCGGTCGACTTGCGTTTTTGGCTCGCACCCCCTCCCCCCCAAACGAATCATGTTCGTTTCAGGGACGACAAAAAACTTTTGCGACGACCCCTTATGTATAATCATGTGGACAATGCGGAGGGTGCATCACAACAAGCTTGCCCACACCGCACTACGTACCAGTTTGATGTGTCGGTAACGTGATTCGTACTCAAACTTCATCACTGACAACTGCTCTGGAACGACACGAGCAGGATTCTCCACCTTGATCCTGGGTGGCAGGACTTCTTCCTCCTCCTTTGGCTTTGTCTCAGTTTCTTCCGATGTCTCCATCTGAAATAAACACAGGTACAGCGAGTGTCGTAAAAAAAAATTTTAAAGGAAGAAGAGGCGAGCAGAGAGCCAGTCGCCTAGTGCTGTGGATACGTCCACATTTTCGATTTACATATCAGTATGGCAACTGCTTGTCTTGTCTAAAACTGGGGCGTTAAATTCAGGTAAAACAGGTGCCAGTGTGGCTAAGATGCAAACTGAGCAGGAACAGAGACACACCACAACGCCTTTCAAATCTGGAAAAAGCTGAGAGCAAGCAAGAGGACACATGCGATGGCACAGAAAGCCACTGTTCTTCGGAGCACACACAATTGGGCATGCCACAAGTGAGTTACAGGTGACTTAGCTACATACCGGCTCGGGGGCAGTCGAGGCGGTCGGGGTGGTGGCTTTTCCGCCCTTCTGGCCAGCCTTCCGCGCTTCCCGCGCTTGCACCTTGGCCGTCGTGGACAGCACAGCGGTCTTGACCTTCTCCTTCTCCTTAGCCTTGGCCACTTCCATCACTGGCGGGTATGCATAGGTTGGCGGTTTGGCCCAGCTCTCGAGTTGCATGGTTGGCATCTGAAGAAAACGAGAACACCAGCAGGAGATATGACTTCTGAGATATACAACGACATGATTGTATGGAACACAGAATTTACAACAAACAAATAATGGTATCACAAAGTGAAGAAGTATGTTGAACTTTTGGGAGTTTTTACACTGGCGAACTCACCTCTAGGTCCTCATTGAGAACAGTCACTGTGGCTGGTGTGAAAGCCAACGACAGGAAGTGTGAAACGGGGAACCAGTACCAGAAATTCTGGAACGTCATGCAGCCAACCACCGAAGGCATGTGCAGATGACCAGACTTGTCAACCAGCTGAATAGTGCAGTTACGGCCACCTACGCACACGCAGAAAGGAGAGACACCAAGCGGGACACGAACAACCAAAATAAATCAGAAATCAAGGGAAAGGGGGTGATGTAAAACATGACTGGTAGCAATGTAACACCGGAACGCTGCTAGTCTATCATAGCAGACTCAGCGGAGGACGTTCAGGTTGGTTGTAACTCTGAGTTTCATGCTGTTACTAGTGTTAGGCAATCATCAGACAACTGATACTCGGGTCTACCCAACAGTATGCTTATAAGCACATCGGGCCACAAGCATAAACAAATTTAGCGCTAAATCTGATGTAAGGTATGGCTAGAAAGCTGCGTGGGCCAAGGCGCGACAGTAGAAGTGCTACGAGGGTGGCGGGCAACAGGCAGGTGTGAGCATGAAAGCGCGGAAAGAGGCGATGGGGAGGCAGTGTGCAGCAGATGGGTGGAGGTGCCAGGAGGATGGCGGGCAATGGGCCAGTGGGATAGTAAGGGAGTCTTTGGGTGACGGGCAGGCGTGAGCATGGTGAGCAGAGTGGCATAGCCAACAACTAGTCTATCATGTAAATATTGAACGCCATGTCCTTTCGGCTATTGCTTGCTCTCTACCCGCAGTTTCCTACTCTTTAGTTTACATAAAGCACTAGAGCTGGCTGCAGAGTGTAGGTGTATGTAGTGATATACTGTACATCCAACCAATCGTGCCACAGAAGTGCACATGACCTGTAGAGTACAATGCGACATACTAGTACATCAAGATGTTTTGGTACACCTCAAAATGACTCAAATCACACCACAAACTAGCACACTGGCTTGATAACATGCAATGTACGAGCAGGCGAATCATACTGCACAACGATCTGAGAACCCATACCAGCTCATCAAGGCTCATGAGAGGACACACCGGTCAAATGTGCTGGTAACTTCACACACGTACGACACAGAATCAGACCAACAGGGCAAGTATAGCAGCGACAGCGATTAGCAAACATACCAGCATCAATGATGCCCTGTGCCATGATTGCACCAAACTTGCTGATCGACTCTTCATGTGAGTCAGCTACTGTTGATCTAAGTAGGGCACGGAAGCCAGCAACCTGGACGCAACAACAGACACAAACAGAATTACATGCACATGACGAAAACCAATGCCCTGCCATAGCAGTAATCCACGATTTATATGCCAAAGTGCCGGAGCACGCACAGAAAAGTTCCAGGAGCTACGAGGGTCAGAAACAACCTGCACTCACCTTCGTGTTGTGTCCCTGGCTCTGCGCGACCATGATCATAGCACCAGCAATATATGCACCCTGTACATACGCGCAGAGCACACCAACAAACACAACACAATCAAACGACAAGCCTCGATCATCACTCTCAAGCTGCAAGACAGTGTACCGATGTGTGCTCAAAGGGGATGAAGTCATGGAGCGGTGTAGGACAGTAGTACAAGTCCAGGCCAAGCAGCTGTTGACCGGTCATAATATAAGGCAATTTAATACAGTTGTAAACATGAGGGTGACACCTGGTCACCTCAATACTACACATTCACATACCTGTCGAACAAAGTTGGTGGAATCCTTAAAAAGTGGTTCAATCACTTTGAAGGCATTCTAGTAAGGAGCACACAGAGAAGAAAGAAATGCATAAAGTCCCAATGAACAGCACATTACATTCTAGAATTCACGTCATGAAGTGACGAGCGAGCGAGCGAGCGAGCGACAGAGAGAGGGAGAGAGAGAGAGAGAGAGAGAGAGAGAGAGAGAGAGAGAGAGAGAGAGAGAGAGAGAGAGAGAGAGAGAGAGAGAGAGAGACAGAGACAGATCAAATAGAGAGACAGATCAAATAGAGAGAGGGGGAGAGAGACAGATCAAATAGAGAGAGGGGGAGAGAGCCAAAATTATGTGGTTAAAATCAGCACATACCAGGTTGCCAGTTCCTGCACATGCGATACCCAGCGCCATTGCAGTGCCGCAGCGCACGTACGGGTTGAAGCTTTCTGCCAGCAAGCGCACCATGTCTGGGCACATTTCAGGATCGCTATGGACACACACACACATCATTTTAGAAAGACATGTCAGAGCTACTCGCTGAGGCAGCCAAGCAAAACAGCACAATGCTGCCAAATGCCAACCAAGGAAAACACAACCGAGATCATACACTTCTGAAGAGGGAGAGATTATAGAACTTCTATATCATAGAGTTCTAATTTGCCCCAGTTGAGAGAGCTCTGTGTTGAGTTGCTTATGGTACGTTCACTCTTGTGTTATGCACAAGCATGGGCATTGGATATGGAAGCAGGGAACTGGGCACCATTTTTTAACCCTTTGGAGTCCATGGTTCGATTTCGAACCATGGGCATTTTGTATGCATGTGGGCGCAGTCAAACTTTCGGTTCTCGACCAAATACAACAATCGAAGGGTCTAATGGTAGAGAAAACTCTCAGCTATCGCCTCGAACAGGTCCGATGTCTCTCCGATTTAGTTTGAGTGAGCGGCGAGCAATCAAACATTTTGACTTTTCTGCGATGCGTGCTGCGAGTCAGCAGTGCGTGAAAAAAAGGGATTTTCCCAGCTTCATGACAGGCGGCACGTGCCAGGACCGGCGCGGCGCGAAGGCACGGCAAGGTAAGCTTCTACTCGGAAAAAATGGAACAGTTCCGAGCTAGATTCAGTGAAATGGCTACAGGAGACCGATTTCGTCTCAGATCTGGAGCTGGACTCGCGTTTGGGGCGCGTTGTGGCGGACAATGAAAAGTGCTCTTGGCGAGTTTGGGCTCATTGTATTTCTCTCATCAAGAGCTTTCCAACGAGCCCAAGATCTTCAAAATCGGTGAAGTAGAACCAAAGTTATGTTGGAAATGGAGTGCGCATTTTCGTGACTGCCACAAATTCTGCGGAAGCAAAAAAGTTACGGACTCCAAAGGGTTAAATAATGTATTCATTTCTACAAGACGGCTGCACCACTGCTGTATTTTTCAAATCACTAGGAGTCTCCCAGGGCAGTTTTCATACGCTAATGACATTATACTCGCATCAGTCCATGAACTGTTTATGGACTCTTGCCCGTATGAATCTGTGCCCACAGTACATAGCCAGGACAGTGCCCACAGTACATAGCCAGGACAGTACATGCAACACACAAACATGCTTCAAGACCAAGAACATACTTGCAGAGCACGAATCCGATAGCGGTGACAGCTGCACGACGAACATCACCAAATGCATCACTGACCTAGAAGCCAAGATAAAATACAACAGCCAGGGAAGGCATGAAGCACTCCATAGGTTAGAGGTAGAGCATCGCTGGCCATAAGCGAGCGTTCGAGTCCTGGTGGCGACAGTCAATTTTATTCTTCAGACTTTTCCCGTTAGCATCTTTCCCTCAAACCAATGAAAACATGAAGGTAAACATAATCTGTTCGTTGTCTGATGATTGGTTCAGCCTGAGTCACAACAGAATTTGCCAAGGGTTTTCATTGTGTGCCTTTGGGTAAACATATAGACATAGCAAAGCACGGCTGAGTTACTTGTGAGGCAGGGGTAATGACAAAGATAGCCCAACAAAAGCTGAGGAATGCCCTGGCCTAGGATATACATACCGCATGGTGCAGGAGGGTCTCGACCACCTTCAGGTTACCAGTGCCGCAGTACGCCATGGCTATACAGTTCATGGCTGTGCGGCGGATATGCTGATCCTGCACAGTATACCAAAACAACAACAACAACAAGTCAAAGCAGAGGTTAGCTTCAGGGCATTCATTTCAAATTCAAGCAACGCACGGCATCAGAAACACAGAAAAAGACGGAAGAAGCTGAATAAGGATAAACAGAGACGGGCACCAATAGAACACCTACCTTTCCTTCCGTCAGCATTTCGATCCACTTATCGGCCTCTTCCTGACGATTGAACATCAGCTGTGACAGGACAGAACCAAACAATACTATCATATGGAGTATCCAATATGCAAGCTCCATGGTGCTGGTACAAATCAAAGACAAACACAACGAGTAAAGCACGTGGCACAAGAGCAACAGGCATGCAAAACAAACTGGTTCAATACCAGCAAACAAACAACCAGAGAATATCGGGGGGTTCACCTCTCATTTCGGTTTCTACCGCCACAAACTAGCACAGCTACCGTCTGGCCCAACCGAGAGCCTGATCATGGCACAACAAAGGCACAAGGCCTGGCAATGCAGTACGACTGCCAAGCGTCCAAGTTTAAAAGATTGAACTTGCTGAGCACTTCCCACGCTAGCATAACCATCTGCTCATGCACAAGTCACTATTGGCTTCATGGCACAACGTGGACCTTGCTACGGTCAAACGTTGCGTGGTGAGTAAGTGACTACGCACAGCAAACATCTTTCATGTGATATGCTTGATGATTACACTCACCATAGGAATACCAACGGCAAGACCATTGCAGATCTTGTCATGCTGAGTGTTTTGAGCATACTGGACAGCAAAACAGAGAACAAAATAGAAAATCAATCCAAACGTTTGGAAACAGGAGCTTTCCAACAAAAATTAATAAGGTATGTAAAATGCGGCGAGCAAAAAAATACAAAATTTGCTTCATAAATTGTACTGAGCAAACACATTCTCACTCGCGCATCCACAAATTCCAGCAGGTGGACAATGATTTTTGCTAACCAAAGTGCCACATCGGAGAGTAAAGCACACACTGTGTACAAAAGGCATGTACATGTCCAGTACTACTCAATCTAATCCGACCAAGCGCGAGTGAATGCTGTGCAGGCGATGACCTGCAAACACTGGGATGTGTACTGGTGCAGGGCTACGCAAACTTAACCCACGCGACTGAGCAGCACTGTACGTGTGCTTTCAATGATTGGCATCACAAGCTGCTCACCATGATCATCTCTTCTAGAATGGCTGCATCCAACGATCCAGTCATGACCAGGCCCATGGCCATTGACGCGGCCTCACCTGGTAACACCAAACGCAGGATATAGCCACCAGTGGTTACACAGTGCACACATCTACATGTACACGGCATGATACAAAGCAAGCCGGGACAACACTTCCTGACTGCAGAGACCACAACGTAATTATAATGACTGTGCATCACTTGCTTCACGTGCATGAACTGGCACACAGAGACCATGGGCGAAAGAAAGAGAGAGAGAGAGAGAGAGAGAGAGAGAGAGAGAGAGAGAGAGAGAGAGAGAGAGAGAGACCAAGCAAACACTCATGCACATGGCACAGTATACAAAACCTGACACTCAATGCGAACCAAGTTATTATACTGTCAAAAGAAGAAAAAATGTGGTGCTCCTTTCAGTGCACAGTAACCGCACAGTATTAGCAACACGGAAACTAGGCGGAGCAGGCACGACAAAGAGCCACACACTTACCAGCCACTGCATCGTCACGTAGTAGACACTGCTTGAGGTACTCGTATACATCTGCACACATGTACAAGTAAAAAAATGGACGACACTAAATACTCAAGATGAAACAGAAATCTGTACATGTATATCCATCACATCTAGCTTTTTTTCCTTCGAACTATTAATTCACCTGTACTGTCGTCTGCACAGTATGGGTACGTTAGTGTTTACAGTCAACACACACACACACACACACACACACACACACACACACACACACACACACACACACACTTGCACTTGTTGCTCACTGCCAAAACTGGTCACGTGGGTCTCCCCGGGAGAGTGGAGGGAGACTCAAAAGGAATCTCGGAAAGATGACTCAACTGGCTATTGAACCGCCCAAACGGCCGACACCCCCTTGAAATCCCCAAAACTCTGGGTGGACTTGAAAATGATCCCACTTATGGGCTCACCACACCTCAGTAAGTGGGTGAGGACAAGGTGCAGAAAAAGGATTGACGGCATCAGGGTATCCGTCCTGGGATCCAACTGCAGTTACCCCTGCCCCCAGTGATTACACAAGACACATACACACACACGCACACACACAGTGTAAAGGGATCTGGCTGCAACTAACCAGGACTCCTTGCTCCTAAACTAGCCAGACCCAGGCCGAGACAAGCTCCATGCTGAATGACCTGCAAAACAAGGTGAACACGTTCACAAAAGAACACACACACATACTCGTACACAATGTAGGACTGCAAAGCGCTGTCAGACAGCCTAAATATTATCGCGCATGCATGGAAAGCATCACATACCCGGATGACGCTGCATGAGTAGCTCAGGAATAAGGGTGGCAAGGGAAGACGAGGAAAAACCGGTGATCAAATATACCTACATACTGTAGAAATCATCCATGCCTCGGCCAACAGAGGGAGAGAACAGAAATTCGCATTCAGCTTATACACACCTCGTTTGTCTTGTTATCTTCCAGCTTCTTGAGCAAATACTCAAGGACAGCACGGCCATGATTTGCATGAATTAAACCTACATGAAAACATGTAAAACATGAAACCCAATTAACCTATTGATAATTGGAGAGAAACCCAAGAACAAACTACCGTAAAAAAAATCACTATCCCGCTCCCACAGGATGTTGCTGTGAAGCGAAAGCCGTATTCGCAGCGCAGGCTGGGACTCCACACTTTAGTGTGCACTGAGCTTGACTTGGGGTGTTGTATAAAGATTGGCAGGTGGATGCGAAGTAAACTACACTGTACTCTCCAGCATCGTGCTGCACTTTCACCCACATGTATGTATAATATCTGGCTTCGGCTTCTGGCGTTTCAAAAGTATAGACTTCTCTGGGGTTTTTTAACCGTTAGGCCAGCATCTATATCACATAAAATCTGTGATCACTTTGCGCATAAGTTCCGAAATCGGGCGTTTGTTATCCAATCGCTTAGAAATCGATGAGAAGAATTGGGGGAATTGCCCGAGCAAAATCCCAGAGAAATTCCTCACAGAGCTCAAACCAAATTTGAATTATTCGAAAGTCTAAATTCAACCCCTCGCCAAATCACCACCCTCAAATGTTGTGCGGGGCAATGGTACCAGTACAAGAAAAAAAAGAAAAAAGAAAGAAAACAAGCTTCAGAACTATTCTCATGTTTCTCCACACCTTGAGTTCAGGGTTGGATTTCCTAGTTCATCATCAGCTTGTCTGAAAAAAACCTTCCCCATGCACAAAGGGGGCTTGAACCCATGCACTGATGATTGGAAAACACAGTCTTTACCAACAATTCCAATCGAAGATACAAGTCACCAAAGAGACTAATTGGATTCTTATCGTAATGTCGTGATAAAAGACGTGCTTATTCCTGTAGAAGCCGATGTCAGTGCTAGCAAGAGTACATAACCTCCCAGAGTGTGCAACGCCTGATCCAGCTCTGCATAGGGTCTTGGTCGAGCGGAATCGGATCTTTGCGTCATAATACCGTACACATCTAAGGAGGACCAGGGGAGTCGCGGGTGCTCTTGGATCAAAAACAATGGTACCCTGCCTCGAGACAGGCTTTGCGCTGGTGTGGAGTGTACGCATGACATCAGAAGATCCGATTTTGCTCGACCAAGACCCTATGCAGAGCTGGATCGGCGTTGCACACTCTGGGGGGTTATGTACTCTTGGTGCTAGGCTTCTATTCAAGTCCGGCTTCTATTCAAGCATGTATCTCTATGTACGTCAATTCTAAAGCCAGGCTTATGTGCTGACAGTGTATCTTAAAAATCAGGCTTCAATTGAAAACAGGCTTCTATACGAGACAGGCTTTTCTACAAGACACTACAGGATTTAAAATTTTCAATGGAACAACTTTCTAGTGATATGCAATGATGGAAATCTATTGTGGACAGTAAGAAGACTTACCCAACGCATAAAGACCGCCACCATCTTGGTAACCAGCAGACATACTAGACTCAGATGGTAGGTATGTCGAGAGAAGTGTGAGTGCTTCCTTTTCATGACCCTGCCAAATCAGCACAATAATGCAATAGGAATAACTACCAGTAGTCTTAAATATGAGCCTAAACACAAGATGACCAAATCACTACGGAGGAAAAATCACAGATATAAAAAGCAATTCAAATTAGTCAAGCTCACAAAGCAATACTAGTACAGTTGGTGCCAATATCCAGAGTGTAGAGCTAGAGCAGGATAAGACTACACACTAACCTTATGGATCACACCCAGACTAGCCGTGGCCGTGAACTTCGCCCAGTTGGCTGCCTGTCCAAGCCACTCAATGTCCTCACTGAGAAAACAACACAGTGCACGCCCACACAAAAAAAGGTCTGGTTTAGATCTAGGTTAGGCCACATGTAGTCCAACGCCATAACAGCAGCACAAGCGACAAAACACCTCGCACTCAATTGCATACGCAGTGGCAGACGTAACGCAGTGAGAACGTGGTTGCACTGCGCGGCACAGTTGCAGAACAGGTGGTAGTCCTGACCATGTGAGACACCTTGAGCAAGAATCACCCACACAGGGTAATGGGTACAGGAATACTGATCAGCACAACTCTCCCAGGGCACACGGAATGCATCGGCTAGATAAAGCCCACTGGTACTCGTGGTATCGTCCATCCCCATGTGACCATGGCAACACTAGAAGCACGGCGCAAACCCTATCCACACCGCAAATGTACATGATGGCCAACGCCAGTGCTTACCGTAGGAACACATCGCTGGTCGTGCCACAATGAGCAAAGCCATTAGCGATGATAGCAGCATTGTGACATATAGAGTTCCTGACATGGTCCTGTAAACAGAGCAAGAGCAGCAAAACAGCAGAACTCCAGACAAGGTGTCTATAATTGCCAAACAGGCGCACCAGAAAGATTTTTTCTTCCTTCCCTACGTGCAGACAACACCAGAAGGGAGTTCAGGGAATCCCCAGATGGAAATATTGTTTTTGAATCTTTTGCTTGAATGAGCGACAGAGGAATATACCCAATGTATATTTTATTTAAAAATGGTGATGCAGCTTTAGCTGCACCCGCACCTGCACACCAATTCCAACAACCCTGCCAGCTGATCCCTTTGTTGCAGACTGAAAAATCAGTACAATATTCATGTGCAGTGCAGCAAGTCAACTGCATGGATGAAACAGAGCCGCGTTCAGCGCACAAACCAGTGGCTGTATTGCTCTAAGGCTCTGCAGCCCCTGGGCTGCAATTCACGAGGTCAAATTCCACTAGCCGGAACTGAACACCTAGGACAATACAAAACATATATGTCGCATAGTCAAGAATCTCTAAATCAGAGATCAAACGAATAGGGAAATGATGCATCCCAAACTTTCTAGACTGAAAGCAATAGTGTGTACAGCAAAGCTTCAAACCCCTACCTTTATGTGCCGGTACACGAGAAGATCGCTATGGTTAGAGCGGACAAGGAACTGAAGATAAAGCTCCACAGTACGTTCACCATTCAGGATACGTGTCAGCTTCTTCATCTGAACAGCCCGCACACATGCACAGCACAGATACACTGTGATCAAGCAGCTTAAATGCAGATACACATCCAAGAGAGCTCTGGAAGAAAACCCGTGGCAACGACAAGGATATCAAGCTAGTATAAGCACTTACAGCCTCCTTGTAACCATCTGGGGGATCGGCAACATCTGCAGGAGGATGCTCGTCATTAGTACTCGAGCCAGCCTCGCCACTCGCCGCCGTCGTTTCGGCAGTAGTCATCGTCACTGCCGAATCGCCCTTCTCTTCCGCGGAAGCGGACGAGAGGAAGGAGGACACGTGCGTGCAGAAGAATTGCGATGTTGAGTGGTACAGGTCAAACGCCACTTGATAGGCCGTCACACGGTCCAACTGCAAAAAGTAAAACAAGCGAAAACGTCAGGCTCAACTTCTGCAAAGAACCCCGTCCTTCCCATGGTTTACAAAGTTACTTCCGAGTACACAATGCAGCAGCACCGAGGGGGAAACCTGCTGGGTACGGGGTGCGCATTTCAAAGCATTAAAATGCAAGAATGTGCCTGCTTGCGACTTACGTGTGTGATTTCGTCCGTCGCCTTCTTTGCAATCAGCCGCTGCAGCATGGCAGCAAGGCCAGCGTAGTCTTGCAGGAACACGTAGCACTGCGGAGAGACATAAATCAGCACAATAGTGGTCAAGAAGGGCTAGTCAGAACTCTCTTTGAGTTTCGTGCACTCGTCAATCATAGAGTGACCAATAATTGATGATGGCGATGTAGACATGTTATGTAAAGGACAGTAACACAGCAAGTAGCTATTAGGAGAAAGAGTTCTAGGTGTGGATAGGCAGGTTTAATGGACATTCCAAACCGTACAAACACACTTCTCCACTTACATGGCACATGTTCAGGTAATCTGGCGAAGCTAGGTCGCCGAAAAGAGGCGCCAGCACTTTTAGAATCTGAACAACACACATACACATGCACAAACACACAGGCACACACACACACACACACAGGCGCGCACAAAGAAAATCAGCACATGATGACTTGCCCGTTGAAGAGATCAAACAAACAGATACAACAACTCTCCAGTGGGTCCCCGTCAGGAGGGCGCCGTCCAGTCACTACTGGCGGATATATCAACCCACTGTGAAGGAAACCACCCAAACGAGTATGCATTAGGGGTGAAACGATTAGTTCGAATATCCGAGTATTCGTTCGAAAATTTCAAACGAGCGAGTACTCGAAATTGTGCACTCGATCGATCTTTCAAAACTTTTCCCGTACCCTGTGGCCGCTGGTATGCATGCATTATGCATACCTTTGAGTCAGTATTTTATGACTTGGACGACGCGATCATCGACTTCACTCCAGGTCACGGCAAGGCAAGCTGTGAGATACGACAGCTAAAAGTACGATGTAGAGACGTTGGACACTCGCGCGGCGACTTCGCGCTGCAACTGCAAGTGTAGCAAACGGTAAGTTAGTTTGTGGATGCATTGTAGTTTTGTTACTTACTTGATCTGGTCCCTTCGATGCTCCTTCCTGTGACCGAAGTGTTGTTGACGTGTGACAGTTTCCGTTTTTAGTCTCTAGTAGTAGAATTTCTTTTTGTTCACCGTTTTCGCTATGTCAAAGACTAAGGTTGGGAAGCTGGCATCCCAACGCTCTTTCGTTTGGGAGCACTTTTCTCAACCGGTGGAGAGCAAAGTAATTTGTAGCCACTGCAAGCGCTCTTACTCTTACACTGGAGGGACGACGAACCTCCAGAATCATTTGAGAACCAGCCATCCCTTCGTCCTTTCCAAGCCTGCTGCCTCTAGCTCAGTGACAACTGAGCAAGGAACTCGCCCGATATTGTCGTTTGGCAGTCACGAACACCGTGCAACGCGGCGGAGGTCTCGCAAATGTCCAACCTGCTGGTGGACTGGATCTGCCTGAATATGCGACCTCTGGGGATTGTCGGCGACGGAGGTTTCGTGAGGCTCATGTCGTTCCTGAAGCCTGGCTTCACTGTGCCATCGCGAACCTGCGTCGCCGGCATGATCCAAAAGCGCCATGCGAAGGCACGAAAAGAACTGGTGGAGCTGCTCCAGAACGTTCCAGCGCTTGCGCTTACGACGGATGCGTGGACGTCAAAGGCAACGATGTCTTACCTGACGTTCGCTGTCCACTTTGTTGCAGCTGATTGGACGTTGCAGAGCAACGTCCTGGAAACATCATACTTCCAGGAGGGCCATACTGCCGAAAACCGGGCTGCGGAAACCAAGCGACTGGTCGAGAGCTTCGGCATCAGCACGAGCAGCGTGAAGTGTATTGTGCACGACGAAGCACGGAACGTAATGGCAGCCAGTCGCTTGCTGAAACGGGAGCTGGCCTGGGATTTCATCGCCTGCGCAGCACATCGTCTGCAAACTTGTATCCGCCATGCTGTTGCTGGTACGCGGCAGGTGGAGAAGTTGCTGGCCGATGCTCGCAGGTTGGTGAGCCATTTTCACCATAGCAGCAAGCAAACAGAGGCCCTCAACGAGCGCCAAGTAGCTATGAGCAGCAATGGTGGCAAGGCGCTGCACCTGATCCAAGATGTCGCCACACGCTGGAATAGCGGCCATGCCATGTTGGTGCGCCTACTGGAGCTGAAGTTGCCAGTCATGGCTGTGCTTCAGGAGGATTCAGCGCACAAGTCGCTCCTTCTAAAGGACCACCAGTGGACACTTGCGCAGGAGGTCGTCGACACCCTCGGACCTGCAGCAACAGCAACAACTCTCCTTGGCGGTGAGACATATTGCACGATGTCTTTGCTGCTGCCGATTGTTTCGTCCCTCCACCGTGCATGGCAGCGGGAAAGTGATGCTGACGATGCCACACTTGCGATTTCTTCCTTTCTCGCTCGTCTGCTTGAAGAGCTGGAGGATAAATTCAGCATCGCTGCAATAGACGCTCTGTCTCTGCCAAGCTTGTCCTCGGCCATTGCCCCGAGAAGCCTGCTGTTGGGATACCTTGACAGTGACGAGGACAAGGCTGCCGTCAAGCTGGAATTGAAGCGCATGGCTTTGAGCATTGCTGACCTCCCCAGCATGTCAGATGATACAGGTGAGGGAACCGAGTTCAATAGATTTACAATGTTCGCATGCCAAACAACATTGACACATGTCCTTGTAGAGATTGTCCATCTTGATATATCCAGATCATAGACCTCTAGACCAATAGTAGTCTGTACTGTGTACATGAAAATGATGACACACATGTAGATGATGTAGCAGACAGTCAGTTACTAAGAAAACGCTTTATTTGTCGTTTGTCTTTCTTCATAGATTTTTCAATTGAGCCTGTTGCAAAGAAGCCATGTCCATCTGACGCAATGGACTTCTTCTTTGGTGCTGATAGCACCCCATCTTCTAAGTCAGGTGACGTGGAGACAGAGGTAACCACTTACTAAGCATACCTCCTGTGTATTCATGAAAATAGTCTTCATCCAGTGCATGGTGACAGTCAATTTTTTCTGTGCACATTTCCAATTTCACAAATAGAGCCTGGTTCACCACACTACTTTTCCTGTATTTACAGTGCGTCTCCTTATGTGCTCGCATTGTTACTTTTTGCTTCATGCAGGTTGCTATGTTCTTCTCCGAGCGACCTGCGCTTCCTCCACTGACCCATTGCAGTGGTGGAAAGCCAACTCTGGCCGGTACCCATTTTTGTCTTCTGTTGCTCGCCAGCTGTTGTGCTCTCTAGCTACATCTGTGCCTTCAGAGCGTGTTTTCTCTTCCGCTGGGATGATTGTGAACAAGCTCCGGACATCACTGAGCCCCAGCTATGTCGATGCCCTCATCTTCTTGCATCCTAATGCCTCACTTCCATCTGCAACCTCAGAATGTCAATTGCCGCTTGTTCCTTCTGAGCCGCTCTCTGCCTTGTCGCAGGATGAAGAGCTGCCACCCTTGCCATCATTATAAAAGATTCTCTCTCTTTCTGTGTGTGTGCGTGTGTGTGTGTGTGTGTGTGTGTGTGTGTGTGTGTGTGTGTGTGTGTGTGTGTGTGTTTCTGTGTGTGGCATGGCTTGGCAGGCAATCATAGTAATTTAGCATAAAATAAATAAAAACATCCAGAAAATCAATATTTCATCATTTTTACTTCTATAAGATACATACAGATATTTATTTTACCGATTGTTGAGCTTTACGTCTGTTCTGCGTTCACGCATATTTTTTTCCGAATTGGTCCCGAACTCACCGCTAATTTAGCACTTTTGAATGTTGATGAAAATACTCGAAATAATAAAACATACTCGATCGAATATTATGAATGAGTGATCGGATGGTCAAAATAGATACTCGTTTCACCCCTAGTATGCATCCATACAAAACCTGGACCCAAAAGTCAGCATTATGACGACCTAGCCTGGCTGCGAAGTAGCATTTTTAAGCCATATACTAGGCAATGTTTCAAAGTAAATGGATAGATAGATACAGACAGACAGATATACATACATGCACTAACAAGCAGACAAGGTAATGGGAAACGAACGACAAACCTACATCTTTTTTGTAGTTCCAGCTGCCAGGAAGCCCAACTGCTGCTCGATAGCAGTAGTTTAGCGTCTTATGCTTATCCGGCTGCACAGTAGCACATCAACACAGATACATGATAAATTACATGGAGCAACATGAGGTGGGGACAAGAACAAAAAGCGTGCGGTTGCATGCACAAGTGCAACATCAACATGACGCAAGGTGGACGTCTGCACACCAGAAAGCAGGCAAGATGCATCCAGCACAGCATACTAAAGTAGAACACACATACTCAACTCCCCCGGAGTGTATGTTGCACATTATGATAGGGCTGGAGTAGCACTCACCGCCTGTACTATGCAAGAGTGCACAACGTCCAAGCGCCGCGTCTCTAACGCAATCCCAATAGCCTCATTAAACTTCTTCCGCTCAATGCAGAGATCAAACAGGCGATCAATCACTTTAATGAGACGCGGGTCACAGTCTTCATCTACATGCTGTACAGTATCGTCGATCTTCTGCACGGGACGGGTGGCTTGGTACTTGGTGTATTTGTCCACACACTTGGCTACAAGAGATAGAGTAGCAAAGAAACAAATAGAGCCATCAGAAGCGTTTAAAAATGGTGCTTAACCAGTTAGCCCAACGACACCACACGACGTCCAGCCCGAGACAACTCAATGTTCCAAACCTGTCACCTAGTCATATGACATAAGCGTGAATGGCACAGATGTGATGAGTATGTGTGTGGGGGAGGGTGTGTTGGGATCTTACGGCTTGGTCACGTGTGTGTGTGTGTGTATTGAGCAGAGAGCGGTGATTTCTTGGAGGTTTGATCTGTGCGTCGCGCACTCGGGATACTGATCCATGGCGAGATTCAACCATGAAACGGACGGGCAAGTCATGGCACTTACGCACAGAATCGTGCTAGTCGTAATGTGCCATGCAGCAATGCCTCACTGACCTGCACAGGAACACTTGCAGCTACCCATCCCACCTGTTCCTACCCGGATTTTAACTGCTAATTACAAGCAGCGCTTCAGATTCCCCTTCCAGTATGCATGTCCGCAATCTAATTGACAGCTCACGCACACCATTGGACCATTGGACGCCCATCGCCAGAGGCGATGATAGCGATGCTATAGCAGACGCCATAGCGACTTGTGCCGGGGTTGCACCATTCAACATCTTGCAAGGCTGAAGAATTGACCGCCACTATTCAGCCTGGTCTACACCACACAGTTATGAAGTGGATTTTTCTGGCCAGTGAATCCCTACTTTTTGGTCTTTTCCATTTTTTCCCGCACACACATCACACCACATACTCCGGCATGCACTGGCTGTTGGTAACCACCCAGGAGTATGAAAGAAAAGTCAGGAGGAGTCTCAGAAAGAGAAGAAAGACGTGTGTGACCATAATCGTCGGGAATCGAACCCACGCACACACACACACACACACGAGAGAGAGAGAGAGAGAGAGAGAGAGAGAGAGAGAGAGAGAGAGAGAGAGAGAGAGAGAGAGAGAGAGAGAGAGAGAGAGAGAGAGAGAGAGAGAGATGGATAGATGGAGAGAGAGATGGATAGAGAGAGAGAGAGAGAGAGAGAGAGAGAGAGAGAGAGAGAGAGAGAGAGAGAGAGAGAGAGATAGAGAGAGATAGAGAGAGAGAGAGAGAGAGAGAGAGAGAGAGAGAGAGAGAGAGAGAGAGAGAGAGAGAGAGAGAGAGAGAGAGAGAAAGAGTACTTACAGACAAGTGTCTCGATGTATTCTGACTTGGTGGTGACATCGAAAAGATCACCAGCACCCAAGGCGTACACCAAGGCATCATCAAACGAACCTAAATGATAGTAGACCTGGGAACAATAATTGCAGAAAAGAACAGGAGAGAAAAGATACATTCAAAAACAATCAAATCAATGAGTTTAAAACTCGGATGTTGAGCCAATAATAAATGTAGAAAGGAAGAGGACATATGGATATGAGTTAAGAGTAACTCTCCATCACTGTAACCAGATACTATATATAGTCAGAAAGTGCAACAACTAGGCACAGTTCTGACAAAGTACTGAGACATTCGACGTCCTGACACCTAGCTTCAACACATCTCCGTAGCGCTAACCGACAGCAAATCAATGAGTCATTGCAATTACTACACAATACGACAACCACTTGCACCATGACACAGACTCACATCCTTAAATGTCTCGCACAGTTCTGACAAAGGAATTGGAATAATTTGAACACATAACAAGTCAAACACAAAGGAAATTTGTTAGATACTAGTACCAGAAGGATAGGGAGCGCGCTACGGATAAGATGTAACGATACGCAGGTGAAAACAAATAGAAGAAACAGGAGAAAAATCACGCTCTTTTCTCTCTTTTTGTACACCTTAATACCTGGACATAAATGCAGGCATCGGCACAAAAATACGTATAGCGCTGAAGTCTGAAGACATAAGTGAGTTTCACATTCTAACCAATGCACTCTCTGGACTCACCTTCGACACTACCAACGCTGCAAGTGTACGGTGTTCATACGATTTGTTCTCATACAGGACTTCTCTGAAAAACAAATGAAACAAATTTGAACAATTGAACACAGATGTTATGCTATTGCAGAGTCTATAATAGTTGATATCATAGTTACACAAGAGAGAGATTGGAAACTGTGTCGCAACTCTGAGTTTCAAGTATTACTGCGATCATCAGGCAACTGATGACTCCAAAACGGGCAGCCTGAACATAAGGGGGAGCAAGGTGAGAAATACTGAGGGGAATCATAGCGTACGAGTCAGGTGCAGTACACATACGTACGCAGCATTTTGGATCCCTGTCAATGATGCTTGGCAAGGAAACTTCCCATATAGTTTTCAGCCATATTTCAAATTGTGTCAATGGTGCATGCACTAACAATTTTATTGATACCTAAATGCAAAGTCGAAAACACTGTTAAGAAACATTATAGTCTAAGCTAAAACAATGCAACACAGTGGTGTCGAATTATCTTGCCAGCGCCAACCGCGTTCAATACTTATTTTGACCACGGATACTTTCATAGCACTGAAAGCATAAAACTGTCGGGTCCGCCTAGATTCAAATGCATTGTGCGTGTGGAGTATTTTACAAAGCACAGTACGCATGAGAACAAGGATTTATCTACCGCGCTATGAATGAATTCTACTTAGTCAGAACTGATACAAACCTTTCCACAGGGTGTGTAGACACAGATCTTCCATCCAAAAAACAATTTTAAAAAGAGACGGGCAGTGAACTGTTACTTCAAAGCATTTTCGTCTGGGAGGAAATTTTTTGCAGTGAACTTCATTTTGATATCCAACAACTGTACTATTCGAAAGTACATGTATGGAGCATTTCCTACCAAGGATTTTTCTAGAAAGATTACATTTTAGGTTCAAAGTGAAGTGCCAAATTATGGAAATAAACTACGGGTGTTAGGATACATTTAAATTTCAAATGCTATCACCACGATTCTAAAATAATGTAGTGCACAAGAAGGTTCAACTTACAATAAGCTGATGTGCTCGGAGAGTTCTGTCCAATGTTGGTCAACAACCTCGTTCAAACGTTGCAAAGCGTAGACCTAGCAGGGGCCAAGAATACGCACAAGGGACTAGATAAATTACAGCACAAATTCCACCCGCCAAGAGTTCATGCACATATGATGGAGAATCATGCCTAAAGTATTTTGACAATTCAAATTCTCACCTGGATAGTGGGGTCCTCATCGGACAGCAAAGCGATGAGGCCGCCTGAAGCGCGACAAAGAAGGCATTATTATCCAGCAATCCCAATTGAATTAGCACACTGATATTTGTTGGCTTACCCGCAGAAGATATGCCCTCCGCCATATCCGAGTAAGGGACGATACCAAAATCTACCAGAGATTCGTCAGCACATCATCACCTTCTTCCTCTCACAAAAATTTCAAGTTCAACCTGACTTCACAGCTTCAACAACTCCAAGAAGGATCGATCCGCTTCATCCCTAGAAAAATTTCTAGCGGTCACATCATGAAACCGCTACGGGTCGCAAAAGTCTGCACAAAGTCTTTCCAGGCGGCCATTTTGCCTTTGAGGTCCAAATTTTATGACTATTAGTTTACTGCAGAACAGCATGACGTAAGGGTGAGTATTTGAAAAATTTGCGGTGATTGTTGATGTTGTAATTGTGTAGATTGTTGCTCTATTATAGCTATTAGTACCTTTGCAGTTATGGCTGCACTGTCAAGACGATTGCTCTTAGTTACACGGCCTGTGGCTGCTAGCTGCAGATCAATAACATGCAGCAGCTCTTCTCGAGCTTGGTGGACTACTCCGCAGGCAGTGAAGCCTCTCACAGATGTTCCTGCACGAATGAAGGGAAAAGGTGAAATTGTAGAACCACTAATTTTAATACATATAGTACGCAATGTATTGGTATTCCAAACAGTAATGTGTTTTGCTAGGAAACATAAAATCTACTGTAGTTCCACTGGTGCATTTTATACATATTTTCAGGCATCTCTGTCCATCTCATTTGTCATGCTGACGTCCCAATACCAGTACAGTAATCAGAGAAAGTGTTGAATTACTGAAAAATCGCCCTTTTATTTGCGTGGAGTTTGTGTGTGTATGTGTATGTGAGAGTAAGGTACGTTGATGTGAACACATGGCACAACATTGGGGTCAGATCGAATTCCGTGGTGCGTAAAATTTGCCTAAATGCACAACATGCCTATTTTCGAACGTAGTGTAGCCGCTTGTATCGGGAATGCTTGTAACGGGGATGAGCTTTACAAATGTACGTGTTTAGTACGTGTACTGGCTACTGGTCAGACCATACCATTCGAGGCGCAAACTACGATTCATGTCTGATCCGTGCATCAGGCTGCGTTTGTGTGCTTGCTGCAAGTACATGTAGTGGTTGTACGATATGGGTGGGGGTATATTTCTGACAGTAAAGTGTGATCTGATTGGCTGAAACTCACAAATACAGTGCTGAAAAAAGGAAACAGGGTATCGTACTTGCTTCAGGCTGGGGCTAGTTTCTGGTTTTAGTGTTGACATACACTGAGATACCTGGTTGGCGAACAAGCCTGATTTGAATAGAAGCCTCACCCTGACATTGGCTTCTATAGGACTGAGCCCACCCTTGACTCTGTGACCAAATTGCTCTGGTACATGCAGTGTAAGTCAGTGAGCACAAAGGTGGCGGTCGAAAAAATATACATTCAAAAAATAATGCTGATGAGTCCACAAAGGACGAAACGAAGGATGAAACAGTTCAGTCCGCAGATTGAGTATTTTCAAAAAATAAATCTATTTAATAAAGTGTGACTTTTCGATAACAGGGCACAAAAACTGACAGGCTACTGAGACATTCATGACCTGCATATTATCTTGTTACAGTCGTGAACAGTTGCTTCGTAACTCGTTCCCATGTGTTCTCTTTTAGTTTACATTTATTAGTGTCAGTATCCGAGTTAACGTGAAGCAATGATTGTCTTTTCTCAAGGCTAGATGTTTGGTACCCCTCATAAAGGGCATGGCATGTGCAGCTAGGTGGGTTTCTGTGGATAGCAGCTCCCCTTAGTCAATTCTGCCCGCACGGGCTAGAGGTGTGAGAGACTTCTCATTTCGATAAGTTGGAAGGCCATTTCTGAGACCTATTTCGAATTCATTCTCTTTTTTCTCTCTTCTCTTTTGACAGCAAAGAAGTCCCATGTTACGCAAGTAGATGAAAGCATCTTGGAGGGTCATGTGAATGTTGAGGTGCTAAAGAAATCTATGCAGACAGCAGTAGATGCCTTGGAATGGCAGTTCAACAAGTCGATCACACTTCGCCCAACCATTGGTAAGGACAGCTAGTTGTTGCTGGCTGTGTCGAGCTGCTGATTATTTCCTGGTTTCAAGATGGAATGTAGTGTGATCTTGCTTATATAGTCCTTGTTTTTGCAGTTCCCTCTTCACCCGGCGGACTACTGGCACCTGTGTTGTCGATTTTATAGCAACTTCTTTCTCACTGTATTGCTCTGTCAAGCTCTCTGGGTGCTAGGTATTCCTGGTAGGATTGATTGCAGTATGTCAACAAGACTCTTGCTTTTTGAATTCAGCTGGCAGGATTGAGATGCTGTAAATCTGTCCCGCCTTGGTAACTTACGACACCTTGTGCCATGCCTTTCTTTCACTGCCAGCGCTGTTGGACTTTGTCAAGATCGTGATCGCCGGCAAGCAACGACGCATCAAGGATCTTGCCCAGCTCTCGCAGCAAAAGGACGGCTTCATCGTCAACTGCACGCAAAACCCAGAGGTAACAGCTGCGCTGGGATTGTATGTGTGGGAGGTGTAGCCGGGCCATATTTGAGTAGGACTCCCTGATCGAAACTGCAGTGTACCCTCTTTTATTCACGCTTCTGTTATCCGTGTCTTCACTTATCCACAATATACACATGCACAGGCGGACTATTGAATTGAATGCAACATGGGCAGTATTTGCTACTTCTAACAATAGACTAACATGTCAATATGCATGTAGCGAAGCATATTTCTGTGGATCCTTGGGCAATTGTGTGTGTGTGGGGGGGGGGGGGGGTAAGCAAGGGACTGCCGGTACTGCATTTAACCAGCAACATCTGACATGATGTGGTGGATTGGAATCATGGCAAACCAATAGTGCTCGCTACAGGGTTATCGGGCCATTTTACTATCTGTTGTTTGCGGCTTGTTTCTGCTCAGAATCTCTTTCCGAGAGCACGAGCAAAGATATGCTGATGAATAACGATAGAGTGCAAATACATGTAGTGGCATACTATAAGCTGATGGGTGTTGTGTACAGGCGTTGCAAGTTATTCAAGATGCAGTGAACGACTCCGACCTGGGCCTATCTGCCATCGCGTCCGGCAAGAACACGATACGTGTTCCGATACCAAAGTACGTCTCTAAGACAAAGCGTTGTCCTGTGTGCATGAGTACTTGTATGCAGACAGCTCATCACCTTTCCAATACTGGAGTTACTTGAAGTACTGTTGAAGAAGTGTTGTGAAGTCTGATGAAATTGTTCCGGTCGTTTCTCGGTGTGCTATGGGGTTTGCTCAGGCTGACGATCTGATTGTACGGTTGATACTGGTATGCACATTATCATTGTATATAAAGGATCTACTATTGTATCTTGCACAATGTAGTTGGTAGATCTACTACATGTAAGCCAACATGCTTATCACGGTGCCTATTTCTTTGCATTCACAAGGGTGACTGGAGAGCTGCGAGCAAGACTGGCCAGAATGGCAAAGGAAGCTGCTGAAAAGGCACGGGTGGGCATTCGCCGAACACGTGGAAATGGCATCAACGACGCCAGACGCCTGCAACAAGTCTCTTCTGACGACATCCGCAGCTTCGAGAAACAGGTGAGGCAGTGGGCATTGTACAGGCTTTTACGGTGTGTGTGTGTGTGTGTGTGTGTGTGTGTGTGTGTGTGTGTGTGTGTGTGTGTGTGTGTGTGTGTGTGAGAGAGAGAGAGAGAGAGAGAGAGAGAGAGAGAGAGAGAGAGAGAGAGAGAGAGAGAGAGAGAGAGAGAGAGAGAGAGAGAGAGAGAGAGAGAGAGAGAGAGAGGAGATTCTGGGATCATTCATTTTTCTTCAATGGCATCACAGGCCTTCAGAATTGACCTACTGTAGTTTCATTGGACTGGTTTTGCTCTGTCTGTACGTTTATCAGATCGACCTCATCTCTAGACTGTATCTGGATCGAGTGGACGCAATGCTGAAGGCAAAGGATGCAGAACTGCTCAAGTGATGACCTGAACGACAGGGCCAGGGTACCGTGTCGGCCAAGCTGCTATAGCAGAGGCTTGTGTAGCGCCTGCGCCATGCTAAAAAAGAGAACTGTCAAAACTCGGCAATAGCCTCACCAGCAGGATGTTCTTGTTCAACTGCCTTCATTCAAGATGTGCTTCGTGTGCCTAGCAAACTAGACCAGCCACTCAGTGCTGTAACACTGCACTACCGGCTGTGTCACTCTCACCGCATCTCTACAGTACACGTGATAGTACAAGACTACTGATTGCTGCATTGCAATAAGTGTCGTTGACAACTCAACTGTGCAGGGATAAAGCAGCTGCAAACAGGGAAATTATAGGACTGTACAGAGAATGTGTGCGTGAGCATCTTGATCATTTAGTAATATTTACATTGACTGATGTTCAGTATGTACATTGTGAATAGCGGTGACGGCATGAATTGAAGAAGCGCTGTGCAGAATTTTTAACATGTACACTAGTTACCTTTATTCATTGAGTAAATTCTGAATATGCTGAGCTATGTACAATGATCACCGGGGAGTACTCCCTGATGACAACTATCCTACAACGTGCTGTGCTGTATACTTCTGGCATCCATTGGTTTTCAGTGGCTTTTCAGGGCTTGCCGAGACCTACATAGCTTCACCTTCACCTTCCTCCTCCTGTGCAAGAACAATCCAAGATAGTAATAGAATACTATTGTCACAGTCTCGCCTGCAAGATGTGATGCTGCTGTTCACCATGACCAACACAAACACCACAATTAGCAGCAGAACGACCAACGACGACGACGACGACAATGCTCTAATTGGCGATGGTGCCATCGTGAGAATAAAGAATTAAAAAAAACATCTCTAATTGGCCACTGGCCATCGTGAGAATAAAGATTTCAAACGACAACAACATTCGAAACAAAAGCATCTTTAATGCTGGCCATTTCAAATACCCACACCAACATACAAGTAAGATAACATCAAGAGTACATAACGTATGTACTCTTCATAACATGCACCAAGGCCACTAACACTCACGCACACCAAGCATCACAATGTACTGCTGCCACAAGCACGGTCCCGCCAGCATACAAGGCAACAGCAGCATGGTGTGCTAACCTGCAACGCGGCAGCTTCACGCCGCAGCTCCTGGATGACGGACGCCAAAGCCTCCGGGTTCACCCCGGTCTCCAGGAGGCGGACACACGTCGTAAGCGTCTCGGAGTCCAGATTTGTGTTCAACAGCTTGGATATTTCATGTAGAACTGCAGAGGGAAACATGAGTTCACATGAGTATACATGTATCACAGCTTTAACGCATTTCAGCAATCATCAGACAGAAGCATACCGCATTCGGCATTGTGAATGCCAGATGCCGCTGTCTGATGATCGCTGAAATGCGTGAAACTTGAAGTTACAGCTACACAGTCTTTCGCCTCCGTTGTATGTGTACTACAGTCCATTTCAAAACTATAGACGCGTACCTAGGCAAAGACCGTTATGCCAGCATCTATACCACATAAAATCTGTGATCACTTTGTGCATAATTTTTTCCAAATTGGGCATCTGTTATCCAATCGTTTAGAAACTATATGAGAGCAATTGTGGAGCGGACCTGAGCAATATTCCGAAAACTATTCTCAAAAAGTTCCAGCCAAATTTGAAATATTTCAAAAACACTGCGCGTCTATAGTTTTGAAATGGACTGTAGTATCACAGCTTTATATTGCCTGATGATTTGCTAAGCGTGAAACTCAAGAGTTGCAACCGGCCGTTCTGACGTCTGTGTTACAGAGCTCTGCAGACCGGTCGTAAACAAAACCCTCGAGTTTCAAACTCATCAATGAGCGCCTAAATCCCCTTGATTAATTCCTGGGCTTTAGTAGACATTGTAGGTGTGGTCCAGGCCAGCGGCCCTTGCCGTTTATGCTTGCTTGTTTGCATCTACCAAGTGACCACTTTCACAGGTGAGCGACAGCATCGCCCATACTAGCAAAGCCAGGCGTTGTAAAGAAGTCTAAATCACAGCAGTGGCGTAGAAAACTGAATGTACTAACTGTACACAAGAATCGCATGGTCACGGATGGCACCTGGCTCAGGTTTCCCGTAATGTCCAGTGCCAACATACTCATCCGTTGGGATTTTTGTAAAAGAGAACACAGACAGCAGCAAAGTGAAGGACCATGAGCTTGCGTTCTCTCGCTACACCTGCTGAGCACAGTACGTACCGTAAAGTCTTGTATAAATGCCGCGGCTTCTATGACTTTCTTGGTGAAATTTTGCAGGCTTCTATATGAGACAGGCTTCTATACAAGACAGGTATATCTATGTATGTCAACACTAAAACCAGGCTTATGTGTGATTTGATGGGCCCAAAATTACGGCTTCTATTCGAGGGCGGCTTCTATTCAAGTACGGCTTTTATACAAGACTTTGCGGTATGTACGTGTATTTCTAATGTACTACCGGTAGTACCAAGAGTCTGTCCCCGGGAAAATTTCGATTCCGCGGCCGCGTTTTTTTGCGATTTTTTTAAAGACCGCGTTTTCCGCGATTTTCCCGCGTTTTTTTTACTTTTTTGTTGCTCTACACGTACACACAGTGCACTGTTCGGTCAGCAACGTCTCATCGTGGCGGCTTTTAACTCAAATATGACGAGTGCTTACACCAGAGACTTGTAACTGATTGATTTCACTACATACTCACTGAAAATTGCCGCACATCAATATTATTCACCGCATATTTACCGCAAATTCACCGCAAATTACGCCATGTTATGCCGCGTTTTTCCCCGCGTTTTTTGCGATTTTTTTCCGCAATTTTCCCCGGGGACAGAAGAGTGCATAAACAAGAGTATGCAACTGTGGTTATGGGTCCGTGTGCGGCGCGCTGCCTTCATGACGTAACTTGCCTCCATCACGCTCTGAAAGCATGCACTCAATTTCTTGTACGGGCACATCCGTTTTTACTCGATTCGCTCCAGTACCTACGTGATCTCTACATTTTGGCGCGCGAACCCCAGTTCCGTACGAAAGTTCATTTCAAACCAGAGGGAAAGTGTGGTGTTTGATTTTCCGCAGTGAGCATACTGCAGCTGAATGATGTAATGAAGGCGCCACGCATCTGACCCATAGAAAAGAGATCACAGTTGCATACTCTTGTTTATGGACTCTTGCTAGTACTAGTAATCCATTCGATGCAAATGCTCAAAGTATTATGTACTAGTATACGAATTTTAATGACGTGTTTCGAAATTTTGAAATATTGTACCAGTCGTTCTGCGAAACTCTTCCTCGACTACATGCATGCGTCTACAGGTATACTTTCTTTATCCTTCTGATTTACTCCTGAAATTTAGAGAGGAGTATCCTCCCGTACATGTGTCGTGAGGACTACTAAGACAAGAGCCTGCACAGCTACCGGTAGCTACAATGTAGCTGGTTGTTTCGACAAGCACTATAATTTAAAATTAGGGATTTTTTTTCTTTTTCCCTTGATATTCACTTGCAGTTGTCAAATGGAGAAGGTGGGTGTAGCAGGTGTGGGCGGTATCAAAGTAAACATTGAACACGTACAGGAACAAAACAACTCACTATTCATTGTCTCCCTCGTTCTCCTCTCAGACGAAGCATCAGCCATTTTCAAAATTGCCGCGAAATTACTTCAACAGTGGACAAAAGTGCACACAAAAACTGTCAAATGAAACAAAGTCAAAGAACACCAGCTGAAGCGTGACCCAGCCCCAGGCCCAGGGCCAGGTGCAGATCAGGCTTCGCTCGATACTATCGCATGCTGTGCGCTTGCATATGTAGCAGCTAGCGCTAGCGCACTTGTGCGTGAACGCCGCGGGGGCCGGGGCCCCGGGGGTGCACTTGCACGCGAGCCGCGCGCGCGCGGTGAGGGCTAGCCGCGCCGGCGCAGTAGCCGCTGGGTGCGTGGTTGTTGTCATGGCAAACGAGTATGCGTAGCCAAAAACAAAATGGCGCGTGAAAGAGCAGGAATGTGCACGAAAAAAGTGGAATGAATCACTTTCCACAGTTTTCATCACGATATCGAACATTTTGGCTCTGTTCACATTTTGATAATCATTCACACTGTACTGGCACGGTGGTTCATGAGCATATTTTATTGAACTACAAAATTGTAAACGTTCTCAAGAAACTCCGCCAGCATTGCGGAGTCCCAGTTTCTTGCGGTCTGGAACAAAACTCAACATCCAGATATCTAGTTCAAGTCATGGCGAAGTGGGGCGAAGGAGATCCGCGTTGGATCGTGGAAGCTAGACCTGACGGAACGAACGTGAACAACTGGCACTGGTCGGTTTGATTTGAATTGACCCACTTCTGGTGTCAAGGCAATTTCAACAGAGTTCTCATGCTGCCTGATCCTGATTGTTGATCTGTGCTGGACTAGGACGGAGAAAAATGCATCACACTGGTCGAATGATCGCCTAAAACAACTGCTTGTGGGTCTAACTTTTGACATAGATTTGGGTACGTCCTTGTCCGAGTGAGAATTTGGAAATACCATTTGTAACCGAAACGCAGGGATGCCCTAAATGGAGTATTTGCGCTTGCATTGTGGCTGTCGTTACCTGCAGCTAATGTGAGAACTACGGAACTAAGCAAATGTGATGGGGAGGCTACAGTGAAGTAAGTCCATAAACTACGTCGGTGTAATGGAATATTGACGAGATCCAGCGACCAGGGTGATAACGGTTGCAGTACCGCCCAGTGGACGAGTTGAATATTCCATTAATCGCATTTTGAGCATACATGTATGACCTCTGACATACTTTGTAGGATGTGCCACTACTAACTACACGTGCATGTGCTTGCTCAGCAAAAGGAGCGGGTCCCTGGGGTAGTACTGCATTCTCTTGAAGGCCGTCCATTGGGTGGATATGGGTATGTGTACATGTGTATCGCCAGCTGTCGCATATTCTTCCTCGTCATTGCTGTCTGCTTCTACAACAGTAGCTTGGTCTGAAGCGAAGTGTTGATGTGTGTATCAATTTCCTGTCTTACTTGTTATGTTCAGTAACCGGAAAGCCAAGTTGATTTTCTTCTATGAATGGGATGTATCGGTGAAGTGGACAGGTAAGGATTAGACCCAATGCATCGCTGTATGCTGCTCATTCCGAATCTGTTTAGCAGGCGTGGCCACGCCTGCAGGTGAAGTCAATTAAAGCTATTACCGAAGTATGCATTTTTGTTTCTCCTCTTCCTGAAGATAGCTGTTTCATGGAGCTGTTGTTATATTCTGTGACTTTTGTGTTTGTGTGACTAGGCCGACACAAAGACTCCGATGAGGATATCACTGGCTCTATCCAGGTGCCGAACTTGAGCGATGAGAACGATGCGGACGACTTGGATGTATGTTCGCTCAACTTTGTGTGTTTGGACAGTGCGAAGTGGTATTGGATTTCCTACCGTGAGATTTACTGTTATGATTGCAACTCAAGCTGGCGTGTGTGGTGTACTGGCATACTTGTTCAATGTTGTAACAGTTTATTCGAGCTGTATCCTGATGTGTTAGCTATAGTCAGGCAGGAAATCGTGAGCATTCGTTTGATTTTTGCAAACCATTTAATTCTAGCTTAGCATACCTGTTGTGTTGGTGGCATTGGATGCGCACATGCAGTGGCAACTGTCATGCCACGCCAGTCTTTGATGCATACTGTCTTGGCATGCGCTGTGCTATGCAGATCACTGTATCGTGTAAGAGCAATAGCAAGGAGAGCAGTGAGGTGAGGCAGATGATGCAGCGCATGGCCATCCCGAAAGTGCGCAACCAGCTAGCCAGCTATGTCCGCGAGCTTAAAGAAGGTAGGGCTGGCTTGAGCATTGTTTTCTCGTTGGCCTAGTGTGTTTCTGTTCAAATTGAACCCATTCCATACGCACTGTTCACTGTCTTGCTGACATCATGTTTGAGGTGTGCAGCATTTGCAGTTCTCCCTCCTAGTCTGTCTGCCTGACATGACCCGTCCGTAGGAGTGTCGGTTCATTGATTTCTCCTGCTTCGGGCTATTCGGTCGTTCCCCTGTGCAGAATATGGAAAGGATATGATTCTGCCCACGAACAAGGGCTCATCTTCTCCTGCTGCTAAGCCCTCTGCCGCACCGTCACCTGCTGCTCCAGCTGCAAAGGTGAGTGCAGCATCATGTCTGTACTGCTCACTGTACCGGTGACCATGCTCGTGGTACATGTACAACAATGATCTCTACTGCGACTGTACCTATTCTTCTGCTTTACCTCCTGTGTTATGTGACGTTGCTTCTAGCTAATCAGGTGCTTTCCTTTGCTTTGTTTTCTGTCCAGTCGGTGCCTGGAGCTGCGCCAGCTAGCAGTGGAGGTAAGGGATTGCCACCTCAATTGCTGCTTGACTGAACCAGACTGAGGTCATGAGGCTTTTGCTATTTGCTGCCTGCAAGGACCGGGGTTTGGGCTATGGTGCATCATGCAGCCCTCGGAACCAGAATACTAGTAGATATTTGCTGGCACTTCAGGGACTCTCCTTGCAGCCAACACGTCCCTAGAGACTAGAGAGCAGCGCTTTGTGCCAATCTGCCAGCTTGATTTGTCCTTATTGTGCCATTGGATCTGTTCTGTATTGCTCACCTGTGCAGCTTCCTCATCAGCATCATCTGTATCCACATCTCGAGTTCAGGAGAAATGTGAATTCCAAGCTGCCCCGGAGGATGTCTTCAACGTCTTTGTTGACAAAGAAGTGAGTAACTATCGAGGCACTGGGAGCACGCAGTAGAATTGCTTGCATAATGTATGGGAGGAAACACATTGCCAGTGTGAGCAAGTCTGTGCTCACACTGAGCTGCGGGAAACCGAGATCTGATGTCGCTCGTCACCGCTATACATGTATTAGTAGGCTGCATTTCTCTCATGTATTGCTTGTTACTGTGTTTGGATCTCATCATCGTGCTCTTTGGCTCGTGTCTCCCTACTGCCTATCTCTGTATTACTCGACCAGCGTACTCAAGCCTTCACCCGAGGATCAGCCCAGCTAGAGCCGACCCCGGGTGGAAAATTCACTCTTCTCGGTGGAAACGTTGAGGGCAACTTTGTTGAATTGGTGAGTGGTCATGGTTAGGCATTGCAGTTGTGAACTTGTGTCACAGATGCTAATCCAGTGTATGGTCAACCTCGCGAATAACAACACAACCGTCGGACCTAGTGACCATTTTGACTGCCTACTTCAACCTCACGAATAACGACAGCTCGCGAATATCGACACTTTCTCTCATGCACGCTCTGTGCACGCATGGTCATGTATACTGGTTTGTATGCATTCATGTCAGGCGATAGAGCGGCCCTCATTTGCATGCTTTGACGGGTCCGGGTCTCTGGTTTCACATGTGCCTTTTATGCCGCCCTGCTCGGCCTGCTGTGCCTTTTATGCCGCCCTGCTCGGCCTGCTGTGCTTTATGTTGCCCTGCTGTTATAAGACGCAGGTGCCTTTCCCTTTCGGCGAGTCTTCAGTAGTCTTCTTCTTTAGTAGTTGGTTAGTTGGAAACACAATAACAACAGAAGTTTGCAATGCGAGTCGAGCCTGAAGTGAGCCTGAAGAATACAGTCTAGAAATAGTAGAATCCAGTAAAGCGAGCCAGACAGAGAGCTGGCCATAAACTGGTCCTTCGAGCCGGATCACGACCAGCAGAAAGTCTCGGTTTCCGTTGCCTGTCATGGAGTTCCCACGAAGGAGTAGCAGGAGAACCCTAGGTAAGATGCCCAAGCGGTTCCTCTCCGATGGGGAGCAGGCCCAAGAGCCGAGGCGGTCGGGACGCAGGAGCGGCGGCAGGACGTCCGCGAGCGAGAGCCTTGAAGTCGGGGGCGTTGAACTTGAAGCTGCGATATTGCGTAGGAACAAGGAGGCAGAACTGGAGACTGCACGGCGGATCGCCGCTCTGAAGCAGCGGGAGATCGACCTCCAAATCGACCTGGCGGAAAAGGAGCTCGAAGTCGAGCAGGCGAGGGCGGCGGAGGAGTTGGCCAGCGCGAGCAGTGCCAGGGCAGCGCGAAGTTCTGCTGTGGATACCTCGAGTTCAGAGCCAGAGAGCTCAGAGCTAGAGAGCGAGGATGTCGATGGTGGGAGCTGGCCACGCGGCGTGGGAAGTCGTCGTGCGCGATCGGACGCGGAGGCCAAGCGCAGGCTGGCCAACCACTTCAGTCGAAGTGCCTTCAGCGACGCAGGTGCTGGCGCAGTGGCTCATCGCAGGCCCGGGTTAGAACAGGGGTCTGGGTCACAGCCTGCACAGCAGCCCATGCAGCCGAACATGCAACAGCCAGTGCAGCCTGCAGTGCAACCCAACACCTCAGCTCCAGTGCCGAGAGCAAGCCTGCTCAAGTATCGACCTGCTCCAACCCCAGCCCCACGTGCGAAGCCCAGACGTCTACCAGCTAAGCCAGTCCCGTCAGTGCCTTTGCGACTTGGTCCAGTCCAGCAGGCCTTCAAGCCCAAGGGAGCGGGACCCAGCCCACCACCTAAGCCAGTCCCGCCAGTGCCTTTGCGACTCCGTCCAGTCCAGCAGGCCTTCAAGCCCAATGAAGCGGGACTCAACCCTGCAGCGGAACCCTACTTCCCGCCCACCAGGGCGACCGACCCAGCAGTCGATTGGGCAGACGGAGCGGCTATGTTCCAGATGGGAGTCTGCAGGTCCCTGAAGCCACTGGACCTGCCAAAGTTCGATGGCAAGATGCTGTCCTATGTGAAGTGGCGTCAGCGGTTTCTCCGTCTAGTACACGAGAACCCGCTCTTGTCAGAGGACTATAAGCTCGCGCACTTGCGGGAGGCACTGGCGGACGGAGCGGCCGAAGACTTGATCGCGGACGTGCTAGACGGCCCGGGCGCCTACTCCGCCATCATGGAGGAGCTGGATCGGTGGTACGGGGGCACAGACCGTAGCCTCGAACAGCAGGAACGCGAGCTCATGAGTTGGCCGCGAATCAACACGGAGCGCGAGCTGGATGAGCTGAAGACGCTGGCCGTCAAGCTGAGGAACACGCTGTTGAACCTGCGGGTGGCCAGGATAGCGCCCGGGCGAGAGCTGTATCTCTCAGTGACGCAGAAGGTGCCGCGTTCGGTCCTTTCAGCTTACTTTGAGAAGCAGGACGACACCCAGTGTGACATTGACGCATTTGCCGCGTTCCTGCTCAAGCGCGTTCACAAGCTCACAAGGGTGAACGAACGGATCGCGGCTTCGGAGCCAGCCAGTGCACGGCGAGTCGTGCAGTCCCAGAAGCCATGCCCACCCAGCGTCGCGCCCAAGCGTCCGCCACGGTCAGGAGACTTCACCTTCGCGGTCGGTCCAGACCAGTGCGCAAGCTGCAAGGGCACGCATCACCTGAGCGCGTGCCCGAGGTTCAAATCTCTGACGGTTCAGCAGCGATGGGAATTTGTGCGCGCCTGCAAGGACATCTGCAGCTGCTGCCTGTCGCCTGGCCATTGGTCCACTGCATGCAAGATGAGCTGTGGCGCCTGTCAACGACGACACCACGCACTGCTGCACTCCAACAGGCCAAAGCGAGATGCGCCCGGTGGCACCAAGCCGACCAAGCCAGCACCAGCGGAGAGACACGGTCGTCACACGGCTCACGTCACAGTTGACGCTTCAACCGAGTCGTGTACGGAGGCACACACCACACACGTGACGTCTGCTCTCGACACCGCCATGGCAACAGCTGAGCGGCGTGAGGAGAACAAACCGCCCGAAGCATTGCCGCTGTCGTTCATGACGGTACCTGTTGTCCTCAGCCACAACGGCAGGAGGGTGCAAGGCACTGCGCTGCTGGACCCTGCGTCGTCCACCAGCTACATCAGGCAGCAGACCGCTTCTGCCATTGGCGTGTGTGGCCCACGAAAGCAGCTGACGGCGTCCGTCCTGGGCGGCGGGCAAGTGACCGGTACGTACGAGCACGTCACCGTCGCGGTCGACAAAGCTGACGGCTCGATATCGGAGTTCCGCGCCTGGGCGCTGCCAACAGTGTGCCCGAGCGTGCAGCCGGTGGACTGGAGCCAGAGCAAGCAGAGCTGGGAGCATCTCCGCGACATCCCGTTCCCCTCAGTGGAGGGGCGGATCGACGTGCTGATCGGTCTCAACGCCATCGACCTGCACACCGTACGGCAGGAAGCCACTACAGCGCAGCCTAACCACCCGATTGCCCGACTCACCCCACTGGGCTGGGTGTGTTTGAGCCCAGGAAGAGCAGATTTGGCCCCTGCCAGCTTCTCAGCAGTCGTCACGCCTACATCAGAGGATCTGAGCCTCGAGACGCTCGTCCGAAACCATCTCGCCATGGAGTCAGCCGGCGCACGGCCGCCTTGCTACGACGCTATGCCATCTGCTGAGGACAGCCAGGTGGAGGAGCGCACCAACGCAACGGCCCGGTTCGTCGATGGAAGGGTGGAGTTGGGCATTCCGTGGGTTGATCCCGAGCCCCACATCTCCTCCAACCGGCCGCAAGCCGCGCAACGACTGCGCAGCCTGGAACGCTCACTGAACAGCCGCCCGAGAGTACAACAGCAGTACCACGACGTCATGCAGAGCCATCTCGACAAGGGGTACATCCGTGAAGTGCCCAGCAGGGAGGTGGACGCCGATGGTGCTCAGCAATGGTTCCTGCCGCACTTTCCGGTCGTCCGCAACGACAAGGAGACGACCAAGGTGCGGATCGTGTTCGACGCCGCGGCCAAGTGGGACGGGCGATCGATTAATGATGAAATGTTCAGCGGCCCGGCACTTCAGACCGACATTGTCAAGGTCCTGATCCGGTTCTGTGCCGAGCCTGTAGCACTTGTAGCTGACATCTCGGAGATGTTTCTCCAAGTGGCTCTCAGGGAAGAGGACCGCAAATACCACCGGTTTCTCTGGCGCTTCGACGACAACCAGCCGCGGGTGTATGAGTTTCAGCGCGTGGTGTTCGGCATCAAGGCCTCGCCTTACCTGGCGGGCAAGGCAGTCCAGGAGGTACTGCGCAGATTCGGCCCGCAATACTCAGCCGCAATTACCGACGCTCTGGAGCGGAGCCGCTATGTCGACGACCTGCTGACATCGCGCCCATCGGTGGCCGACGCAGTGGAGAGCCGCGTCCAGTTCCAGGACATCCTGTCGCGCGGCGGGTTCCACCTGCGCAAGTGGCTGTCCACCAGCGCGGAAGTCCTGCAGAGCATACCAGCTGCTGATCGAGCCGCATCCGCTACACTCAATGTCGGTGAGCATATCCACTGCACTCTGCCTACTACGAAGACGCTGGGAGTCACCTGGTCAGCGGATAAAGACGTCTTCAGCTTCCATTTCAAGCGACCAGAGTTCACCAAGCTGACACGGCGCTCCGTCCTCAGCGGCCTGGCGTCGGCGTTCGATCCTCGTGGGCAAATTGCGCCGTTCACAATCCGTGCCCGCGTGCTGCTGCAGGACACTTGGTTGCTGGACCAGGCGTGGGACGATGAGCTTCCTCCCACACACGCCAGAAAGTGGAGGGAGTGGTTTGACGAGCTGCCCGACCTGGCCGCCATCAACGCGCCACGCAGTTTCAAGGCGGCTACAGAGTCCATCCTCTCCGTCCACACGTTCACGGATGCGTCTGACCGTGCCATCGCTGCGGCGACCTACATCCGCGCAGAGGATGCAGCCGGCAACGTGCGGGTGACGCTCGCCATGGCCAAGGCCAAGACAGCCCCGGCTCGTCGGCAGACCATCCCCCAGCTGGAGCTTCGCGGCGCCGTCTTGGGTCTGCGGACCAGCAGCGAAGTTGGCAACGCTCTGGACATCCCGGTCGCCGAGCACACGTTCTGGACGGACTCCATGAACGTGTTGGGGTGGATCCGCTCGCACAGCCGCAGGTTCAAGGTCGACATCGGCAACCGCGTCTCAGAGCTACAGAACGCCACGAAGCCCTCCCAGTGGAGGCACGTACCCGGCAAGCAGAACCCCGCCGACAAGGGTACCCGTGGGCTACCAGCGAAGGAGTTGGCGGAGGACCGGGTGTGGTGGCACGGACCCGCATTCCTGTCGCAGCAACCAGACGTATGGCCGCCTGAGAAGTCAGCGTCCACAGAAGGTCTGCCAGGCGTCATCCAGCGGGAGACCACGTTCACGCTTGCCGTCACGTCAACCACTCGCCTCCAGGCGTCCAGATACCGCACCTGGGAGCAGCTGCTCAGGGTGACTGCGTGGTGCTACCGGTTTGTCAGCCGATGCCGCCGCAAGCCGCGCGTCGGCATGAAGGGGGAGGATACCAGCAGCGATCAAGACGTCACCGTTGCAGTGTCGACTTCGCGAGCAGCCAACTCGAACTACCCTACTGTCAACGTGCCAGAGCTGACGGCGGGTGAGGTAGGCCGCGCTGAGAGGCACTGGATACGACAGGCGCAGAAGGACGCGTACGGCCCAACCCTGGAGCGTCTGGCCGCCGGAAAGCCAATGCAGGCTAGCGACCCGCTGGCGGCGCTAACCCCGACGCTAGATCAACATGCTGAACCGCTGATGGTGGTCGGAGGCCGTTTGAAGGCTGCGAAACACTTGCCATATCGTGTACGCTTACCGATCATCCTGCCTCAGAAGCACATTGTCACGCGGCTGCTGATCGAGAAGGAGGACCGGAGGTGCCGCCACAGCGTGGGACCTCAGCATCTGCTGTCCAACCTGAGGGAGAGGTTCTGGATAGTAAACGGTGCATCAGCAGTCAAGACGGCACGCCAGTCGTGCGTTCCGTGTCGGAAGAACTGGGGTGTACCGGCGGCGCAGATCATGGGCGCTCTGCCGGACTTTCGGACTGCCGGGTCTCTCCAACCATTCTCGCACTGCGGCATCGACTTTGCCGGGCCGTTCCAGACTAAGCAAGGACGAGGCAGAACCCGAGCGAAGCGCTACCTCTGTCTCATGACGTGCCTGGAAACCCGTGCCTGCCATCTGGAGCTCACCTACTCCATGGATACCGGGGGGTTCCTCATGGCGTTCAACCGCTTTGTTAAGCGGCGCGGCACGCCAAGCATCATCGTCACCGATAATGGCTCAAATTTCGTCGCGGCTGAACGGGAGCTACGAGAAGCCGTGGAGCAGCTCGATCGCGCAGAGATCGCGCGCAGTCTCGCTGATCGACACATCCGGTGGAGGTTCAACCCACCCAGAGCACCGCATTTTGGAGGCGTCTTCGAAGCTATGATTAAGGCAGCGAAGCGCGCTCTGAGATCCGCACTGGCCACCGCTGAGCTCACTGATGAGGAGCTACACACCGCCATCGTCGCCGCAGAGGACCTCATCAACTCCCGTCCGCTGACAACAGTCAGTGCCGACGCCGCCGACCTCGAGCCGCTGACTCCGCAGCATTTCCTCGCAGGACGCTGCGACCCACCTCTGCCATTGGAAGAGAAACTGAACGCCACAGAGCAAGTCCACCCCAGAGATCGCTTCGCCGTCGTGCAGCGCACAGTGAAGGAGGTCTGGAGGAGATGGCTCCTGGAGTTCGTCCCACTGCTGAACCAGCGCAGGAAGTGGCGCAAGACGCAGAAGAACATCGCTGTCGATGAGGTGGTGCTGTGTATCAAGCCCGACACACCCCGGGGCAGTTGGCCACTGGGCAGGGTGAGGCGTGTCTTCCCCGGACCAGACAGTTGCGTCAGGGTGGTGGATGTTGAGATCCGGGGCAAGATCTACCGGCGAGCCATCCAACGCCTCATTCCGCTCCCGGTGGAGTGAGGCGACGCCCGGTCGAGACAGACAGTTAGCTGCGCTGTTCTGTTAGTTAGAGTGCTGGTGCTCTGACACTGGTGTGCTGTCTCTAGTCTTTTCTGATGTGTCTGATGTTTTCTCTTGTGGTTGTCCGTCTGCACTTTCCACATGCTGCCTTCCGGTGCGCTCATTCTTGCTGCTGCACTGCCTTGCTCATGTACTCACTCATATGCCATTTCGTGAGTGAAGGGGGAGATGTGCACGCATGGTCATGTATACTGGTTTGTATGCATTCATGTCAGGCGATAGAGCGGCCCTCATTTGCATGCTTTGACGGGTCCGGGTCTCTGGTTTCACATGTGCCTTTTATGCCGCCCTGCTCGGCCTGCTGTGCCTTTTATGCCGCCCTGCTCGGCCTGCTGTGCTTTATGTTGCCCTGCTGTTATAAGACGCAGGTGCCTTTCCCTTTCGGCGAGTCTTCAGTAGTCTTCTTCTTTAGTAGTTGGTTAGTTGGAAACACAATAACAACAGAAGTTTGCAATGCGAGTCGAGCCTGAAGTGAGCCTGAAGAATACAGTCTAGAAATAGTAGAATCCAGTAAAGCGAGCCAGACAGAGAGCTGGCCACGCTCGAGGGACTGTTATTGCTTGCACTTGTCTGTTTGTCCATTGCGTGCTACCTCTAGCTGTACCACTTTCAACTGTGTGCTGTCTGTGTGTTCTGTCCTGTTGCTGTATCCCTGACTTGGCAGGTCCGTAACGAGAAGATCGTTCAGAAATGGAGAATGAACACGTGGCCTTCAGGTATGATGTACAACATGACATGTACATTTGTAGTATTCAAGTGTGCCTGTATACACGTGCAGCATGCGTTTCTGCTCCTGCTAGTGTGCTGATAAGTACATGTCGAGTGCTGCGCAATGAAATCCAATTGCGTGAGTTAGTTTACACTCCAGGGTTCACAAGTCTAGGTCCGCGCATTGTCCAGCTTAGCATTGACTCGCTTGATCCGATTTCATTGAGCAGCACTGTAGAAGAGTGAGTGTGCCTTGCGCAGCCCGTAATACCCTCTAATGCGTACTTGCCTGCTCTGTTGGCTGTTGGCACTGCTGCCTGCTTGCAGGTCATTACTCAACTGTTACTTTGCTGTTCACCAGTTCTCCTAACGGATGCCTACTCAAACTCAAGCAGGACAACGTTCCGACTAGCAGCTTGGAATCGACCAAGGAGGGCTGGCATCGCTACTACTTTGAGTCCATCAAGATGACATTCGGCTTCGGTGCCGCCCTTATGTAAACATGGACACGCTCATTCCAACATGCATCTCTTGACACGTATGACTATGAGAATCTCCTATTTTTTGACTAGAGTTTTTTTTATTACCTTGTGTTCTGCGCATACGACTGCCTCTGCTATTTTGTGCTGCCATGTTCGCATCGGACCCAGCTACCTAACTTATGAAATGAAAAAAATTAACATTGCCGGCCTGTGCATACACCATTCGGAAACGTATTTTGTTCACTGTCAACCGAAGCAAAGAAACAATTGCTTTCTCACTGCTCGATCTGCATCTTGTGCTGCCTGTTCGTTATTATTCTGGTTTGTCGTCTTTGCCGCCGTTGCTGCTGCTGTGGCTCTGTTGCCGCCATCGCTGCCACATGCCACTGGACTATTCTTGCTCTCTGGTCTCCGCCCGCCATTGCGTAAGAGTGCTGACGTATTCTCAGCTTTGAAGTCATGTGGAAAGGACAACCTAGTCGCCACGCTTCTACTGTTGGTCATGGCCGAGTTGTTGTTCTGCGACATTGTGACAGCAATGATAGTATCACTGTTCTGGCATTCAAGCTGAGCTGGTGCCGCAATGTCTTGGAAACTTCCCAGTGAGAATGCTACACTGCATTCTGCCAATAGTCCATGTTTTCTCTACCTCGTGGTTCTGAACTCTTGATGGTAATGGTTTCATTTGGAAATGCTTCTGCGTTCACTGTGGCATGGCATGATTATGTCTCAGCAGGTTACTCGATCTAGCTATGGAGCTGGGAGTCAAAGATGAGCCCTTGATGTAATTTGCATGCATATAATGTACTAGTATACTCAATCTGCGGACAGAACTGTTTCGTCCTTTGTGGACTCGTCAGCGCAGCACAGAGGAAATGAGGCCGAACCTGATAGCAATGTACTAGTATATAATATTCCTACCAGTTTGAAACCTCCAAGACCAGTACTTCTGTGATCGATAAAAGTATGCGCCGCCCAGAAAGGGTTAGCATGTAGACGCGCTGCTACGTGGTAATAGCTATTTTGCTTGTACAGTAGTGCTCCATCACCTGCAAGGAGTTGCGAAAGAACACCAAGGACCTTGTTTGCAACTCCTGGATTTCAACCAGTTGGTATTTTACGGTGATAGGCTCAGATGCCCTAGGGGGGCTCGATCTAATGCTGAGGTGTAATTGGCAACATACAAAATACAACTCGATATGAACCAGAAGTAAACACACACACACACACTCTCTCTCTCTCACATACACCTTAGCTGGTGCTGTGATTGCGATTGTGTTTCTATTGCACATTGCCGGTGTTAGCAAACTGAATGAATGCTGTGGCAGCATCAAACTGTTCCGAATATAATAGTAACTTGAACAGAAAGGCTGAATAAAAAAGCATACTAAAATTGAATCTGACAGGAAAAATATCAGCTTACACCTCGAGCAAAAAAGAAAGAAAGGAGAGTGTGCTGCCATGCGAAAATAGAAAGCATACAACTTACATCTCTGCTTTTGTGGCGCTAAACAATAGATACAAGAAGGAGACAATAGTATCACATTGTACATGACTAATGTAATTGTACATTTTGATTGATACAGATGAGAATGCAGAACAATTGAAGCAACCAAGTATTCGATATCCATGAGCTCTGCGACTCAGGTAGTTATTTAGATACTGCCAGTGGTTGTGGGAGCATTGCAAAGTACTCTGCTGTGTCGGAGTGCTTGAAAGTTTTCTGTGCAGTATGCCCAAGCGAGTGAGACCTGAAAATGACTCGAGTGAAGTACCGCGGACGGTAGCCGCTTGTTTGGTAAATGCAAGCGCAGTACACAACATCTTGCAAGACGAGAGTGCAGATGGCCAAAAAGGTGATGCGGCGGTGAGCGAGGTTTTTAGAAATCCAACCATTGGCCATGAAGTGGCGGGTTGCATGGTAGAACGATCTGCAACAACTGTCCTTCTCCGATTTGGAGTATTATTGCCAATCTCAGCCACAACCGTAGCCATTATTATACCAGTATGGAAGACTCTGTTGCGAGGAGCTCATCCACCTTGTCAACATCCTTCTTTTCCTGCCAAGCACACACACACACGCACACACACGGTACAAGTCAGTTTCACACCAGTTGGTGAAAGAACCATGACATTGTACCGGGTAAGCACAAGTAGCTGACATGTACAATGTCCATGCAGCAACAACTAATGTCTGCTCTTTGCGGAGTGCACACAACTTACTAGTATAGGATACTAGTATCACGCAACGACAATTATTCAACAAGGAAACTATAAAATTAATGACTAAGCAAGGAGTGGACATACAGATTCGCTCACCTTGCTTTCTGCTGCCTCCTCCGGAGCTGCATCGCCGCTGCCATCAGCTGCGGGGCTGGACGAGTCTGCATCTCCGCTTGGCGCCTCGTCTTCCTTGGTTTCTTCGGCCTTTGTCTCCGCTGGTTCTGATGGTGCTTTGTCCTCAGTACTATCTCCTCCGCATGTAGCCTCTGTAGCGTCAGAGCTCTCCGTTTCAGTGGGCTTCGCCTCGTCCTTTTCAGCACTATCACTCTCGGTCACGGCATCAGGCTCGTCTGCCTTCGGATCTGATGTATTCTCCTCAGTCTTTGGTTGGTCATCTGCCGATGCTGATGATTCCGTTTGCTCGGCGGCCTTTGTGTCCTTCTCCGTTTTATCTGCAGCGGGCTTTGTATCCTTTTCCGTTTTTTCTGCAGTGGCAGCAGATTCCAATTCGTCTGCACTGTCACTCCTGACATCGCCATTCTCGCCCGGCTTAGTGGGGATGGGTTTCTTGGGCTTTCCCTTCACCGCCGGCCTATCAAGATACCCACGACACACACGTGCACACACACACACACACACACACACACACACACACAGCAAAGACAAACGCTTGATTGGAGCAGTCGATATGCCAGGCAAAGGCAATATTGCAGTAAGATACAGGGTTGATCATGCAATTATACTAATCATCGATGTGCTTACTGGGACAGCAAATAGCTGGAGAGCACCAGCAAGACACGACAAACATTGTTGCGATTCCAAAGTTCTCATGCTCGATACAATCCTCGCATGCACACACACATGCATGCACACTCCGGGAAATATGCATGCACATTCTGCATGGCTAGCCAAAGAAGACAGTAGACAGACAACCAAGAGACTCGGCGCGATCACCTACCGCGGACTGCGTGGCTTGGGTGTCGGAATGGGACTGGTGTCAGTGGAGCTCTTGCCCGACGTTACATCTCTGCTGGTAGCGTCATCTGGGGCTAGTGATGTGGAGCTCTTGGACTTGCTCACGTCAGAGCCGGAGCGCGGTTTGACTTTCGGACTATCATCCTGAGAACAGGAAAACAGAATGCACATTATAACGTTATACGAGTGCAATGAGAATGTAGGACGCAATGAGAACGCAGTATGCAATGAGGACACAGTGCGCCGAAGACACAGACAGAATATATTCAACTGGAGGCCTGCTAAGAGTTCTGGCAATCTATTAAAATGCCACTTGCTTTTCAGCAGCGGCCAGCAAGCACTATGAACCTAGCTGGATCGAATGAATGGGCCCATGTTTTGGCTATTGCGAGTTGTTTATATGGCATCAACCGCGGGGAGAGAATGGGCACTAAAAAAGTTTTAGATTTTCAACCACCTCCCCCCCCCCCCCCCCCCACTCCTTCAGGAGGGGGGGGGGGTTGTGCATGGTTACATTACGTACAAGCTGGGGGCAAACTCAAAGATCATATTCTCTTCGGATAGGACCTCTTGCTTTAGGATGCTGAGTCACAGTGGATGTGAGGCTATGAAAAGTCCATGCTGTCACGAGCATCACCATTCTAGATGCTGTACTAGTATCACCATTCTAGATGCAAATCATCTGTTTGCTGCTTCACATACCTGCGTCGTTCCCGGGAACTGCTTCTTCTTCATCTCGCCGAGAATGGATGCTGAGAAACCGGCCATGATGTTGGGGCTGGCACGTGGGCTACCACTGTATGAGCACATCAGAAATAGAAAAGTACATGTAACAATAGAAAGAGTACAGTCAGCCCACTAGATATACCAATCACTGACCAGCGTAGGTTGGGTAGAGCGTCTGGTGCGGGTGTGCGCACACGGCATGTATTTCTGGCCGGTACTGTACCCGCCTGACTCTTAGTCTTTTAGAGGTTCTGGTTACACTCTGATGACGAAATACCTTACAAAACCAAAGAGGTGGTACAGTGTTCCATATACCCGATCTTAATGCACATGTAGGCTGAGGGATTAAAAAAAATGAAACACCATCATCATGATGCAGCAGGAACTCCACGCTAAATCCATTATCTACTCACGACCGTATCCACATACTCAGCCCGTATGTTGCCAGACTATTCAGACGCAAAACTGCGTTTCTGCGCCCAAGCGCACTAGATATGTCACTACCCTCAAAACTGGAGTACTTGATGTACCCAAAGACAGTCACACAAAGTGCCGCGGTGTAGTAGCTGGCCCCCGGAGGTGATTACTTACAAAACACTCAACTTGCTTTAATAATAGTAGTAGTACTAATATATTTGTACTTTGAGTAAAGAGGAAAGTTGAACAAATCATGCAACTTAGACAACAGTACCTGATCGGACTGTCAGAAGCGGTTGCCTTCATTGGTGGCATCAGCGCGGTCATTGCAGCTACTTCAGCATCGGTCTCATCCTTAGCCTTGGCTGCAGTGGCACCGTCATCTTCGTTGTCCGCCTCAGGCGGTGCAGTCACGAATAGATCGTGACTGGACGGTACACCGGTACCCTTGCTATCCGTCGTGTCCTGGGCCGGCTTGCGCGCCGGTCGCCCGCGGTTGGTACGCTTCGGTGCCGCCCTGCCCTTCGTGACGTGAGTGAGCGTAGGTGCGGCTGATGGTGCCAGGTCAGGTAAATCGGCAGCAGCTGCAGCACTCTTGCCATCGGTTGATGCTGCGAGCAGGGCAACAGCACAGATGAGCATATGAACAGCTCACACCATGAGTAATGTGTTGCCAACTCAATCAACCACTGGGATATTAGTAGATGCTAAGAGAAGGACATCATGGTACATGTATGAGCTTTGTATTCAGTGGCCTGTGCCCGTAATGGAACTCCATGCAAACCCATTAAATGGTGACAATATACCGGTAGCACAATTTCTCCAATATGCAGTCTATGCACTTGTAGATCCAAGATGTCTTGATGTTTAACTGCAAGCGTGACACCAATAGCACGCCATAGGTAGACTGGGTCTTTCAGAGGTCTACTGCTCCCAGTACACAATACATAGCCCACAGCACACATCTTACTATGCCCAGGACGTCCCCATACACATTCCACAGAATGCAAAATGAGTCTCCAGTCTGTACACGAACAATGCATGACGACCTCGTACTAGTAGAGTTCTGGTCCGTGAAATTCGACCTCATGAGTACAATAGCACCGGGCAATAAACGGCCCTAGCCACCCCCCCCCCCCCCCCACCCCCCCATACACACACACACACACTCTTCTGTACGTTCAAACTCGGAGCGGATTTATTCATTAGGTCGACTTTCACAAGGCAGAACTGTTGTAAACCGGTGCAGAGTGACCGTGCAGAGTGACCAACTCAGTAAAAGACCCTGTGTCCAAATAGACACCTGTCTGAACTCAGGCCCCAGACCCAGGCCATGATTGAACACACATGCAGACCTGCAGACGGAGACCGCCTGTCTATCAATACCAATTGTCCATGCACCCTAGGAGCGGTCACTATAGACTCTGAGTTGGTTCACTGTACCGGCCTGCATATCGCACTTAGAAACAATAGGACTAGACTATGATAGATGATAGATACAACAGCATGACATGCTCTTCTCACTTGTACTGGCTAGTCTTTTCTTGTCCGGTTTCTCAACCTCCGAAGGCTTCTTCTTCTCCCGCTCTTTCGGTGCTGGTTTGTCCTCCTTCTTCTTCCGTAGGAACCCCGGCAAGGCACTCTTTGTTGTTTGAGGCTCTTTGTCTGGTGAGCGACGTGGACTGCTGGTGCCCAGGCCAAGCTTTTCCAGGCTAGATCCGTTGTTATCATTGTCGTCGTTGGCTAATTCCTCTGCCTCGGCCAGTAGAACGGCCATCTTCTCTCGGAATTCCGGGAAGATTGCCATTCGAGATGGTGACACTTGATCTAGCACACCAAGCAGCAGCAGCAGCAACAGCAGCATTAGTATTAGCAACACGTATGTTACATAAAATTGCAAGACGGTTACCGTGAATGAGTCAAGCTCAAGTCAATGCAACCGGCAAGATGGCAAAAACAGCCGAGACTCTACGAAAGTGTGCATTTTGAACACCTACAGTTTGCCTGCTAAAATGATTCCACTAGTGTACCCTGCTATTAAAGACTTGAAATAACTTATCTTCCTACAGTAATTGCCAGTATTCGAAGCCAGACATCGCTCCACAAGCAGTCCAGGATTTTACTTCAGCAGGAACGCCCACCCACCCACAAACACTCAAGCGCCCACCAACACCCGAGCGCCCGCTCATGCCCCCCCCCCCCCCCCCCCCCACGCACACACGGTCAGTGCCTGCACCATCATCATCAGCAGAACCCAGTGAACACCAGCACTTACTTGCAACATTTGCTCTCAGTACCACCATGGGCCATAGGGTCAAACTCCTCTGCACAACATATGGAGCAACAGCAACAGCCACAGCATTCATCATATCGGAATAAACCAACACGGAGACCCATGATTACGGAGTACACTAGCAATAGAACTTGAAAATAGCCTGTCTGTCCCTAGCTAGAGCCCTGGTAACAGTTATACATATGCATATTCGGCCAATAAGCCGAATCCTAGCAGCTATGTCCAGGGTGAACTGCTGCATGTCCGGCCAGGTTCTAGCAATACATGTAACTGTTATATATTATGTACAGCACTGCCTGAGAACTTACCATCCAGCGATATGGTCGGTGGACGTGACCGGCGCAGCTTGCGTTGCCTGATGGCAAGCTACAGCACGGATGGGAAGAAAGAAGCGGCAGTGACTCAACGAAAGAGGAGAATTGTGCCAGTGAACTCAAACCCGACACGGAGGTATAGCACACTAAACTTGTTGATTCTTTGCTTAACACACCAAATTGCGCAGTCCCATAGCACTACCAAGCATTTCATATTGGTAAGCGGCAAAAAAGTCACCGTAGGAAGTGAGTAAACTTGCCACGTGATGAACAGTCCGTACGAGAGAGAGAGCGAGAGAGAGAGAGAGAGAGAGAGAGAGAGAGAGAGAGAGAGAGAGAGGGGGGGGGAGAGAGAGAGCGAGAGAGAGAGAGAGAGAGAGAGAGAGAGAGAGAGAGAGAGAGAGAGAGAGAGATGGAAAGATAGAGAGATAGAGATAGACGGGTAGATGATTCATTCCATGAAATAGCAGCATCTCCCAAGGCCAGCACAGCCTACGTCACACTCACAGATAACGACTCCGGCTCATCCGCTGGCTCCTCAGCAGTGCCCTCTGAAAACTTCACAGCCTTCTCCAGTGATGCGGGACTCATTGGTCTGCCCTTGCAAGCTAAGACAAGCGTGTACTGATACGACAACAAAAGAGCAGACATATCTAGGTTAAAACAACAATGCCGGTTTTAGTACTGGCCGATTGAGGTGTGCCATCTGTCTCACATGCAATCATGCCAGCTGTTTCCTTCACGTCCCGAAACAATTTGGGTCAGAGACTGGGGTTATAAATAGTGCAGCATACATTGTGCTCGTCCAAACCAGAACAAACTGATACCATCCAGCCCATGATTTAGTTTTATAAGAAGTGCTCATGTTGAGCGGGGAGGGGGGGGGGGGGGGGTAACAAAAGCTTGTCTGGCCACATCCTGCCAAAGCCTGACCAGGCTGACAATCAGCTGCTGCACTCCCCCTATTCTAACAAGGGCACTGAGCGGCGCACTACACACACGTACAGTCTACTGTAGTGCACACTGCACACTGCACACTGCACTGCAGAACGGTGTCTCGGTGGCAGATCTACACACAGCACACTGCACACTGCACTGCAGAACGGTGTCTCAGTGGCAGATCTACACACAGCACACTGCACACTGCACACTGCACTGCAGAACGGTGTCTCAGTGGCAGATCTACACACAGCATTTACCTGCTGCTGCTACTATCCTAGCCATGTCACTGTGCCTGGATCTCATCCAGCACAGCTGTAGCACATAGTACACATGAATACTGAGATAAAGCACAGCTATAGCAAGGTGATATGGTACAAATGGAGAATGCGCTGCACTGCACTGCAGTATTACATACCAGTTCGTCGTTCCAGCGTCCGACAACCTTGACCATGGCGTTGAGAACGCCCACCCAGAACTTGTGTGCTACGCTGTACACCACATCACTGCACACATGCACGTACACATGAAAACACACATGCGCACACATGCACACACACACGGACGGATGGACAGATACACACACACAAATATAACAGGACAGGCACTTTAAAGCACATCAGCAAATGCATTATTCGGCGATCCAAACGCCACTGGCACATTCAGTCACGGCTAAACTGCTTATGCAATATGTTACAATTTTGTGAAAGACAGTGGCCAGATCATGCCGATGTGTTGCAACGCCTGTAGCAGACAAGCCAGCATAAATTACTGGTCACTTTAGGTACCATACAAGTCTTCGATCTACATTACAAACACTTGTCCATAGAGTGCAGTGTTCTCTGCACCATGTGGTGAAGGTCAGTAATCAAAGTTTTTTAAACACAGGCTCGGATGCCGCACGCTTACTTCATTGCACTGGTGAAGCCATGCGATGCCTCAGAGTGGATGATTTTCGAAATGCGAGCCGAGTCCAGTGTGGCATGTTTATCCGCCGTCTCCTTCAAGTTCTCCATGGTCTATTCACATACACAGAGACACACAGAGACAATGGTACAATCACAAGCTATTTCTCACCACATGTGTAGGGAAGAACTTCCTTCAATTTAGCCGCTAACAATTTCTGAGAAATTTAACATAAACGCCTAAGAGCGAGGTGTTGAAGATGACTAAATGGACAGTGTTTACATTTAAACCTAGGACAATGCTGTGAGAGCATGTCACATGAGTCTCAAACCCGCAGCCACTCGCTTCGAAATCACTGGCCTAACTGCCTAACAACTCCTTTACATGGTCTCACAAGATCCAGCACACATGATAATAATGATTACAAGGAAGGTGTGAGGGGTATGACGTAGCCCTGACGGCTTACATCTTCGTCCAGGCTGTCGCCGATGTTGGCCTTGGCGAGGTCCACAAACATATCCGGATACACCTGCAGGGAGGGCAAGCACACGCATCCGCACATAGGAACACATACACACACGCATGCACACACACACACACACGCACATGCACACGCACACGCACACACGCGCGCGCGCACACACACACACACACACACACACACACACACACACACACACACAACAGAAGGATTTAGGACTTGCAAGACATACTGAGTTAAGAATCCCTTGCACAGACAGCCACAGTGGCGCTACACTCCAGGCATGTACATGTACAGGACTACGATGTCAGCTGATGCAATTACTGGGGAGGGGGAGCCAGTTCTCCAAGGTTGCTTGGAAGTTGGATGTTGCAGTGCTGACACCCTGCATCTCCCCATTAAGTGGCTAAGCCCATTTTACCTTCAGGAGATCAGTAAGTGGAGCAAAGTCCGTGTCGACGAGGGACTTCTTCAGTGACCTCTCGATGTCGTCATGCTGCACTTCCTTCAGGTCAAAGTTGCCCATCAGCTGTGTAGGTGGAAGAAAAATAACAGACAGTGCGTGTATATGCATGCACGAACAAACACACAAAACACATATGATTGAGCATGTATACACACGTGCTTGTGCATATGCGCGAGCATATGCACAAGCACATGCACACACACATAAGGCCGGGCAGCATGGCAAAACACGGTACTTAAAAGTGGTGTGCCCTACCTCTGATGCTTGATTGCAGACGTCCATGAGATGCTCGTGTTTTTCCATGGCATCCTTGATATCGGAATGCTTGCGATGCGTCATTAACAGGTTGACCTTGTCCTGCGCTAGGCTCACTAAGTGATCCAGACGCTGTAAATCAGAACACAACACAACATACAGGTGCACGGACGTTGTTAGCAAGGTCAGGCACTCGCGGCAGACAGGACTGCACTTGACCAGATAGCAGGAAAGAATGCATACACCAAGCTTAGTCTAGGCATTATAAGACACAAGCATGTAGTGCTCCTTGCTGAGCGCTTTTAAAGCCAAGTCGAGATTGTACATTCATTCAATAAGTGCACTGACCATGCCATTGGCTGCTTTCCATGCTCCTTTCCCGTTCGAAGTTTGCCACGGTAATGGTACGAATACATGCACGGTTCCCCACCGGGACACGCTTCCCGGCAGCCTGGCAAGATCTGAGTGTGTGCTGAAACAGGCCCCGGATATTATATCAAATGGAAGATGGGTATCAAATGGAGGATACGCCCACCAAGCACAGTGATGGAACGCCAGTGCTCCATAATTATGGTTCATATTCAGCTAGTGTGCTGGTCACTGGGTCGGAGTGAGCAAGGCCAGTGACTTACCTCTTCAGCGGCTACACTGGTTGTGATGATGTTCTGACGGCGAGCTTTCTTCTTCTCGGGCTGGCTCTTGGGAGAGTGGTTGCGTGTCACCAGTTCTTGCATCTAGCACACACAGAGGAAGTACAGTATTGTGTATGCAAGTTATTGTTTTTCTACTCTGCACTCTGGTATCATAGCGTACTGAGAGGAAGTGTTGTTGTGTATGTGAGATATTCTATTTCTCCTTTGCACTCTTGCACTTTGCATGCTCACCATATTCCGATTACCAGTGCATTCCCTATGTGCATGCAGAACTACACACCTTCGCGGCCAATGCTAGGTAAGTGTAGTAGACGGACTTTCCCCTACACAAATCACTATGTATTACTATGTATTGCACTATGCATTGCTGACACCATCAGATCCCTTGCTTTCATTCGCTAGCTAGCGCTCGGAGCTGTAACTGGCAATCTCGTACCATATATAGATCCGTGTGTCAGTTGCCCAGCTCAGTTGTTGCAGAGTCTTTGCCTCCGTTGTTTCTGTCGTCTTCCCTTCACTTATTGAGTCTTTCAATATACTATAAGTAATTCTGTGCCACCTACGTTTGTCTTCTCGTGCAATATTGTTCCCTGAGAATACTACCTGTGTTTTGCCGGAGAGACTGAACCAGTTTTGCCTTGTCACTCGGTCGCGTATTACATTTGGTGGCAGCGGTGTTAGCTCTGCGTTCGTCAGTCGCAGTATTCCGGACCACGCCTCGTTATTTCGCCGTGCAGTGAACGTTGCCGTTGCCGTACTCGTCTCAACTCAAGCTGAGTAACTTTGTTCCGTGCCAATTTACGATTTTAATATTTACATTTTTGTAGTGCTAGTATTTTCTAGGCTTACTTTGTTGGATCTATTCGTAGTCTTGTCCCCTAAGTAAGCTAGCTCTTCGTTGCCAGTTTTTCTTGCACTGCTCGCCGTACTTGAACTGTTGCTATAGCGTAGGCTTAGTCCTCAAACGCGTCCCGTGTTGCTTGCGAAGTCCTATAGGCCTACTTGTTTGTTTGTTATCCTTATATACACGACACCGAAAATGGCACAGAATCCTCAAGCTGCTGCTGCCGCTGCCGCTGCTGCTCCCGCTGCACCAGCTCTGGCTCCGGGTCAGGTTCCGGCTCCTCGACAGGCACCACTTGCTCGGCCGGTAGTTGTACCGCCGACGTTTGGGGGTGCCAGCCAAGACGATTGGCACTGCTTCATCGCCAGGTTCGACGCAGCGTGCGTGGTAAATGGGTACCGGGATGCGGAAAGGCTGCAGTTTTTACCTTGTTGTTTCAAGGAGAGTGCTTTTACAACTTACCAGACCATTCTGGCGGCGCACCCGCAGTATACGTATGTAGAAATGTGCACCGAATTAGGGCTACGGTTCGAACCGCCACACCAAAGTCGCCTCCTTGAGGCCGAGTTTCGAGCTCGCCTGAAACGATCAACTGAGTCCCAGGCCGAGTTCGCCGCAGCTCTTCAGCGCCTTGCGGCACGCGCCTTTCCAGGTCAACAGGGTCCGCTGTTAGATCGCCTGACGCTCAATCAATTTATTGACGGCCAGGTCAATAGTGACCTGCGCCTGCACATCAGGACATCCAGCCCTGCAGCCCTCGATGCCGCCGTTCGACGGGCGTACGAAGTTGCAGCGATCTTAGAGGTCGAGAATCGCCGCAGTCTTCCGGTTCCTACACCAGCCTGCGCTGCCCTGACCGCCTCTATGCCTCAGGCACATTCCGTAGGTCCACTCGCGGATCCGACTCCTACGTCCAGTGCCACCGTGGCCCACGTAGCTCCTAGTTCGACTTCGAGCTCCACCGACCCGCTCGTACTATCGTTGTTGAGCAAAATTTCGGACCAGCTAGCGGATCTACAGGTCTTCTCTGCAACCTCCGCTCCGTCGCCACGGGCGTATAGTGACGACACTCGAGCTCCACGCGGCCGTGGTCACAGCGTCTTCCCTCGAAGCGCGCCCATGTCGGGCCCAACTCGATTTCCTGGCAGCTCGAATCGTAACCCGCCTCCGTACAACGGCACAGGCCGCGGACTTTACGATGGCGCGCGTGATCGCGGGTGCTTCACTTGTGGCGATCCGTCCCACTTCCGTCGTGATTGTCCCCACTCGACGCGTGGGAGTCGTCAGTCGGGAAACCGCTATTGACTGGTGCTGCTCGGCAAGCTCCAGTCTTCGATACTAGTGTTCCTAGCTCGACTGTGCCGACTTGTACTGGTTGTGAATGTCGTCCCTGTTATTGTACTGTTGATGTGCGTTGCCCTACGTCTGCACCTGTGACTGTGTGTCCTGTTACTCATGTTCAGTCGTCTTCTGCAGTTTCTCCGTCTGTCTATGTTGAGGTTAGTCTCCAAGATACGAAATGCCATGCTCTTGTTGACACTGGTTCTAGTGTTTCACTTGTGTCTACTGCATTGTGGCGTAGTCTGTGCACGACCTCCTCTGTCCCTGTGTCTGCTGCTCCTGTTGTGTCTGGTGTGACGGGCCGTCCCCTCTCCACTACGGGTACCGTGTCCCTCTCTGTTTGTACACCCTCATTCGTAGCTGTTCAGAATTTTATCGTTGCTGCTGATATCACGTCTGATGTAATCCTCGGTGCTGACTTCCTCCAGCAGCACAATGTCCTGCTTGATTTCTCCCGGGCTCAGTTGGTCCTGGATGATGTTACATTGCCGCTTGTACCCCTTCCACGTGTGCGTTCGCTTTCTGCTGCTGTTGCTGCCGCGCCCACACCAGCCCATGTTACGACTGTCGTGCCCGACCTGAGTGCTCCGACTGTTCCTGCTGCCGTCGCTGCCTCCGTACCTGCTGCCGTCCCTGCCTCCGTGCTTGCTGCTGCTGCTCAGCCTGCTGCTGCTGCCAATGCTGTTGAATCTCCGGTGTCTCGTGTTGCTTCCTCGTTCCGTGTGTGCATCACACAGTCTGTTTCAGTTCCGCCCTGTCACGAAGTCATTCTTCCGGTTGCCCCGTCGGTATGTGCTGCTGGCTCTCCTGCTGCTGATACTTCGTATCTAATCGAGCCACTTGATTCGTTCTCAGAGAAACACCCGACATTGGATGTCGGAACGTCTGTCACGTCCCCGGATAACTTGGTTATCAATGTGGTTAACCGTGGTACCACCCAGATTACCTTGCATGCAAATACTCATATTGCTGTATGTGAACCTGTCCCTGAGTGTGCTGACACTTGTGCTGCTGTTGATGATTCGCCGTTCATGCCGCCGCCTGTACCAGTAGAGAAGATTGATGCGTATATCGAAAAGAATTGTTGTCACCTGTCACCAACGGACCGTTCTACCTTGCGTGACCTTCTCCTGCAGTACCACGATGTATTTGCTCTTCATCCAGACGACCATGGGTACTGTGATCTTGCGCCACATAAGATAGACACAGGTGATCATTCGCCTGTTAAACAACAACCTTACCGTGTTCCATTCCGTCATCGTGAGCAGCTCCAGAATATTATCAATGACCTTCTGCAGAAAGGTGTCATTACTCCCTCTGCGAGCCCGTGGGCTTCGCCTGTTGTCCTCGTGCCTAAGAAAGATGGCTCTCTGCGTCTCTGTGTTGACTATCGCCGGCTCAACAAGATCACCACAGCTGATGCTTATCCTCTTCCTCGGGTCGACGATACCCTAGACGCGTTCTCTGGCTCTAAGGTATTCTCGACACTTGACCTTGCTAGTGGCTACTGGCAAATCGCAATCCACCCTCAAGATCAAGCTAAAACAGCCTTCGTGACGCCCCTTGGGTTGTACGAGTTCACGGTTCTTCCTATGGGTTGCTGCAATGGGCCTGCCACATTTCAGCGCTTGATGCAAACGATCCTAAATAATCTCCTTACCAGTCCTGATCCCGTCTGCCGTGTGTTTTTTTATGACATTGGCCTTGGGTCAGCCACTGTTAGTCTTGGCTTGGATGGCCTCCGGTCCGTTTTCACATGTCTTCGTCGGTACAATCTCAAGCTTCGGCTTGAGAAATGCGCTTTCCTGCAGCCCCGCACTAAGTTCCTTGGTGTGGACATCAGTGCCGATGGTCTTCACACCTCAGCTTCGAAGGTTCACGATATTGTTCACTGGCGTACGCCGACATCCGTTCGTGAAGTGCGTGGTTTTCTCGGCCTCGCTGGGTATTACCGGAAATTTGTTCCGCACTTCGCGCAAGCTGCCGCCCCACTGGCCGCACTCACTAAGAAAAATGCGAAGTTTTCCTGGGGTCCTGCTTGTCAGGCTGCTTTCTGTGTACTAAAAAAACGCCTCTCATCTGCGCCTGTGCTTGCTCAGCCTGACTACACGTCTGCCGCCGCTCCCTTCATCCTTGATGTTGATGCCAGTGATTTTGGTATGGGCGGTGTGCTCTCTCAGGTACAAGATGGCCATGAGTGTGTGATTTCCTACGGTAGTGCTATTCTCAACACCGCCCAACGTAACTACTCCACTACAGAGAAGGAACTCCTTGCATTTGTTCACTTCGCTGATGTGTTCCGCTACTACCTCGTTGGTCGAGCATTTGTTGTGCGCACTGATCATGCTGCTCTCAAATGGCTCCATTCGCTCAAGGAACCACGCGGTCGTCGTGCCCGTTGGTTAGAACAACTTGCTGAACTCGAGTTCACGGTTATTCATCGCCCTGGCCGTCAACATTGCAATGCCGATGCTCTGTCTCGCCGTCCTCCTGAGTCTGTTGCCGCCACTACCCGTCAGTCACCGCCTGACCAGTCGTCACCAGCCGCACCAGCAGCTCCTGCTCCTGCTTGTGATCCTGTACCCACTGTACCGAAACCTGCACCTGACTCCTGGCTGCCGCGCTTTACTGCTGCTGAGCTGCTTGCTGCGCAAAAAGAGGATCCTGATGTGTCCATTGTGTTAGGCTGGCATGATTCTAGTCATGATGTGTTTAATTCTCCCCCTGCACACACATTAACTGCCTCTAGCCGTGCTGTTCGCCGCTATGCTTCTGAAATTCATTTGCTTTCCCTACGTGAAGGTGTTTTGTATCGCACAGACCCATCGGCTGATTCTGTTTTGCAATTAGCTGTTCCGTTCTCTTTCCAAGCTGATATCTTATCTGCAGTGCACGCCGATGTTAGTGGTGGTCATCTCGGTGCTACAAAGACCATTGACAAGGCCAAATGCCGTTTCTTCTGGCCAGGTATGTCAGCTGATTTGCGCACATTTGTAGCTAATTGCCAAGAGTGCATGTCCCGTAAGAGCGCTACGACTGGCCGAGCACCATTGCAGTCCATGCGAGCTGGCTTCCCTAACGAGATCGTAGCCATGGATCTCGTTGGACCACTGCCTACCAGTCGCCATGGCAACCGTTACCTACTGGTATGTAGTGACTACTTCTCACGTTGGCCTGAAGCGTACCCTCTACCCACTATGACTGCTGCTGCCGTTGCGGATGTGTTCTTTCGGAACTGGATCTGTCGGTTTGGTGCCCCAGAACAACTCCACACCGATCAGGGCACACAATTTGAGTCTGAACTCTTCAGTGAACTGTGTCGCCTCATGAATATCCGAAAGACTCGGACCACCGCGTATCATCCCCAGGGCGGTGGGCTCGTGGAACGCCTCAACCGCACCATAGTTTCAACGTTGCGAGTGTATGTAGCGGATCTGCCCACCTTCTGGGATCAGTATGTTTCAACCGTCCTGCTTGCATACCGTACAGCCAAGCATTCTTCTACCCAATTCACCCCAGCTCAGCTTATGTTTGGTCGCCAACTCCGTCTGCCTATCGACCTTGTCTATGGGTCACCCCCGACAGAGTTTGTGTCGCCCGCCGAATATGTAACACAACTGTCCAAGTCCCTCCACCATAGCTTCGATACTGCCCGTCGTAATGATAATGCTGCGCACCACAGCCAGAAGGACCACTACGACCTTCGTCAACGTGGCACTGCATTCCAAGTCGGTGATAGTGTGTGGCTCCTTGAACCTGGAATGCGTCGCAAACTCCAGCCACCGTGGACCGGACCATACCGGATTGTCCATGTGTCGCCGCCAACGTCATACGACATTCAATTGATCAACGAGCCCTCCAGCACCAGTAAGCGTGTACATTTCAACCGCCTCAAGCTACACGCCCGCTCAAACGCCAAGTCGTCAGTCTCTCAGTCCGGCCCAGATGTCCCGCTGTCTGAAGTGCCACTGGCTCCTACTTCTCCATGTCCGCCGCCTGTTCCGCTATTCTCCTGGCCTGATGCTGATGATGCCCCACCCCAACCTGTTCCTCCTCCGCCGCCGGTTTTTCTGCAGCCAGCACCACCAGCACCTGGTCCGCGTGCCCATCTGCACCGCAACGCCGGTCTTCCTGTTCGTTACAGGAACAACTATGTGTTCCCACAATGAGTTCCAAACTCGCACTTGCCTTGCCTTTCTGCTCCACTCTGTTTCCATTGTGTGCTTGTGTATGATTTTCTTTTTCTTGCTGATGTATTTTGCTGCTTGAGCCTCGTTTAGGTCTACGTTAATTCTGTATTAT